AGATATGCCTCTGAGTATATAGGGATAAATTGCTTTATAGACCAGCTTCTCAAATACTTTGCCCAAGGTGTTAAGTATAGAAATACCCCTATAATTCTCAATAACCGTTCGCGAGCCCTTTTTATGTATTGGAACAATGTGTGCCTTTTTCCATTCCTCAGGAAAAACACCTTCTTTTAATGATGTATTAAATATTAAGGTAATCGGTAGTGCTAACGTTTTTGAACAGTGTTTCCAGAATAGTGGAGGCACTCCGTCACAACCAGGTCCTTTATCAACGCTTAACCCCCTCAACGCCCCCTCCACTCTAGACGAGGTAAATTGTAAATCACAAATTATGTTCGAACAATCTTCATTCTCTTTAAAAATAATCGGAGAACTACAATCAGTCGCTTTGCTAAATACACCATGGAAAAATTCATTGAAAGCTTGTGTGATTTCATGTCCCTCAGTATAATTTACATTATTATGAGACATTATTTTTGGCTAATTCGAGCCACCACGCATACTCTTGATATAGGTCCAAAACATTTTAGGATTCTTTATCACAGCTTGTTCGGTCTTTTGCATATACTCACTAAAGCAAATTCTCTGAACTCGCCGCTGTCGCGCCCGTAACATAACAAATTCGTCGTAGTCTAGTAGATTTCCAAAACGCTTCCAGCGCGAATGTGCCCTACTTTTTTCCTTAATTATTCGTATGAGTGAACTACTATACCAAGGAGGATATTGACGGGAGCTTATTTTTCGGTTAATAGGCACATATTTATTGATACCCGCTTGAACGGTTTCATAAAAATTATGAACGGAATCATTAGTTTTAAAAGTGTTCAAAGCTGATGACCAGTTAATATTAGAGAAGAAGTTATTTAAGTTAATATAGTCGGCTTTACGATAATTATATCTAGGGGCTGATAACTCATATAGAAATGAAACTGCTAAATCAGAAATCACAATATTTAACACTGGATGTGGAAGGTCAACCTTTGTGAGAGGTAACGAGCACTCCTTTATTTCCAAAGGTAAGTTGGAGAAGGCTAGATCAAGAGTGTGACCCTTGTGATTACGCAATACATTATATTGCCTGATACCCAGAAACTCCAAATCGTTAACTAAGCGCGCGGCTGCGTTCTGTATTTCGACAGTACCTTGTCGAAGAAATGTTGGTCCGCTTGAATTCCATTGAATGCAGGGAAGGTTAAAGTCGCCAACAAGTAAATAATTGTATATTTTAGTACTACGAATACTTGTTATATTCTGCAGTACGCAGTCCACATCGCGGGGTATGCGATGAGCGTCTGGGGGCACATAAACAACACACACGCAAAGATCAGCCGCAGCGCACAACGAGCGAGCTGGTATTACTATAGACAACAACTCCGTGGAGATAATATTGTTTTTGATTTCCATGCACCACGCGCCGAGTTCGTGTTTTGAGAGGATCATCACGCCACCGCCTGAAGATTTACCAGAAGCAGAAAGGTCGCGGTCTTTACGGAAAACATCATACCTATTATCACACAATTCCCTGTCAAGAATACCGTCATGCAACCAAGTTTCGGTCACGATAATTAAATCATAACAATCGCTTAAAACATTTAGTCTGAATTGTGTTGATTTAGTTCTTAACCCACGACAATTCTGGTAATAAATATTCAGATTACTGGGCGTCATTGTGATGACTATTTTTCACTTAGTCTATATCGAACAACGGCGCAGTACACAGTATACCTTGGGCATTTATGTATATCGTGGGTACAAGGAAAATAAATATTATTTATTCTACGGATTATTACAGAAGCAAACACTACATAATATTCGCGAACATGGCCCAACAAGACAATGCGCATGATTACCAATTGAAAACAATTGATATGGATATTTAAGTAAAGTATATTAGCAGTTTTTTTTAAAGTACTCGGATAGGTAGTTCATTTTGTGCATTACAGTACATGCGCCATATCTATGCGCGTCCCCAGACCCATACACTTCGCCAACACCAATGCTCGCACTCTCGAACCAAATTGCGTGTATACTATTTGTAATCATTAAACTGATAATCAATAAGCAACCCTTTAAATTCCCTGTACAATTAATAGAAAAACAACGATAAAATATCTGACTATAGAATTTCTTTTTGTTTACTTTCTTTGTCCAGAAACTACAAAATATGTACTTAAATAATATAACTACGCAAATTAAATCTCCTCTAGACCGAAACGTAATATAAAAATGATCAAAGTTTGTGTATATTAAAATAATATGTACTTTAAATATGGCACTCTTTAGGAACGCGTTACCTGTATAATGTGATCGCCGACGACCGCACTGCTCGAACAAAAAACACCTCACATAGAACTCAGTAAGTTTAGACTCGACACACACAATCATCCGGAAATCAACTCCGCTTTGTTTAATATTGATTAAAATTATTTGCAAAGACACAAGAGTAAAACCACTATGAACAATCACCGATAACATAGTTTTTTGATGACCACTAGGAACTAAACAATTTTCTTTAGATCTTTCTCGTCCATAATGTAGACTGCTGGAGTAATTACAGCTTTCCGCACGTAAATTCTCCCGTTTTTTGTCCATGTAAACTGATATTGTTTAATTTTAGCAATTTCCTTACATTTTTTCAGGATATCCTTGTTGGTGGTCGTCAGATGTTCGTTTACAAATATCGGGACGTCGTTGCCTTCAATTTTTAAATCTTTAGTGGACAAACGGCATTTACGTGCTTGCGAAATAATATTGTCCTTGAGCTGGCGTGTATGTAATTTAGCAATAATATTCCGTGGCCTACCTTGAGCCTTAACTTTTGGAGTTACTCGATTCACATGAATTATATCTTCTTGTTTGATATTAATTTCCGTAAGTTTTCCGATGTTCAAGATAATTTCACTTAGATTTTCTTCTTTATGTTCAGGAATACCAACGATCTCGACGTTTAATAGTCTATCCCGTTGCTCATTTGTATTCATAGCAGATCTTAGTTTTCTGTTTTGAGTCTTGATTTCGGCCAGCTCAGATTTCAGGTGAACCATGTCTTTTATATCTATTGACTGTTTTTCCATCTTCTTCGTTACGTCGTCGTATTGATCACTGTGATATTGCACTGACTTCTCAAGCACCGTCAGTCGATCCTCCACTTTCGCGTGTCTATCTTCTATTGTTTGTATCGATTTCTTTATTTCCGAATATTCTTTTCTAATACTGGCAATCTCCGTCTTCAACTCTTGGGTGTTTTCGTTCATTTTCCCCAGTGTACCGTTTATCTGCTTTATATCTTGTCTAAAGTCCTTTTTCCATTCATTTAGTAATGTTGTTAACTTATCAGTGAACTCCTCAAACTCCCGAGAAATTTCGTCATTATATCCACGCTTGCGACGAGTGACATTAATTCTCGATTCCTCAGCTGTCATATGCATCGACAGGTCCGGAACTGAACTTGCCCTGTCGCTTGGTGATTCCGACATCTTGGCTGTCTATCCTTTGATGAGTCTGTGGTTAGTGCGAATGGTGTGGAAATTTCCACAATTATGCGATCCGATTTAACTTTGAGATTTATTATATCGGTGATTAGGTTCAATATTTGATGCAGTTAAAATATTTAATACTAGCTTCTGCCCGCGACTTCGTACGCGCAATCCCGATATTTCCCGTTCCCGTTCTTGATTTTCGGTAAAAAGTAAAAAAAAAGAATTGGGTAAAAAGTATCCTATATCCGTCTCCTGGTTCTGAGCTACCTCCCCACCAATTTTCATCCAAATCGATTTAGCCATTCTTGAGTTATAAATAGTGTAACTAACACGACTTTCTTTTATATATATAGATTGTATTGCGATGAATAGCGAATGCGTCCGTTCACACTGGCTCGACCGCGATGTATATTAATATAAATAGGAATTATTATATAGTTTCGGTTACATAATTTCCTTTACTGAATGTGGTGTGCAAATTAACTTAGAAAGTACGTATAAGTTGTATGAAACAGCATCCATCTTACGAAAAATGATTAAGATGTCGCTTAAATCTATATCATAAAATCAGTCTACTTACTGAACAAAACATAACGAACCCATAAAAAATTATATAAAACTGAAATACGAATAAAATGCCTCACTTAAAACCTATTTCATAATTAGTCGTAATAAATAAAATTATTTTAGTTATAATGTGTATAATTTGATAATAATCCTTTGTATCATAGTAGGTAATTATCGACATTGTTTACAAATTGACACTTCTCTATATCGATTCGAGGAAATGACGTTTTGATTTGATACTCGGGACTCTTGTTGTGAACGTAATACATTGCGCGATTGTTTATGTAGTGCAAATGGTACGTATCTATTGCAAGGAATGTGTACCTACTGCTTGCGATAATGTCGTTTTTGTCTAGAAACGTCATAATATTCATGTTATAATTACAAATATCACAAGTATATTAATGTTTTTGGAGTCACTGGTGGAAAGAAATCCCTTCTCGTGCTACATTGTTTGCACACCTGTCTTCTTTTCCGACACATTACAATAGTCCAAGACGGCATAATTTAATATTATTTGCGGAGTTTCGTACGCTGTCACAACAACATTGCGTTTGATGGCCGGTTTTTGACATTTTGGTAGATTTGGAGTATTTGGTCATAACCGCGGCACGCGTGTACCGCCCCCAAAGCCGTTCTATCCTCCTTTATATGTTCTGTGGGTTCAACAGACGAATCACCTGATGGTAAGACCGTAGGCGCAGCCCGCAGCACCATGTTATTTGTTACAAAAGTGCGTTGCCAAATTTTTAGGGATTTGAAGATTGGGATTGATCTTTCTGTCTTCTAGAAGTGACCTTCCTCAGACAGTCTGTTCAGTCTGTACAAGTGTACACCGTGTATGTCACCTACCTACGGCACTTAAGTGCCGTACTTACTCATAATCATCGTAAAAGTGTAATGAATTAGGGTAACATACCGGATGCCTACAAAAATGATTAAATTTACCCATTGAATAACAGCTCGTAAAATCTGAAGCTCGTTTATAAAGAGGTAATCTTCTTCCACGTTATTCTTTAAGTGGTGAAGTACTTCTTTGGTGGGTTTTTTATTTTTTATAAAATTACCAAGTAACTTCCTGAACTGAAAATTGAATATTAAATTAAGTAGGTATGTACAACATCGGACATCGTAACGGGGTAGTTCAGGAAATATTATTATTATTTGCGTAGATATTTCCATTTCCTTACCTCGTTTCCATTACTTAATTTAACATTCGCTATTTTATTGCCTCCTTCCGTAAAATGCTGCTTTATTCTTTCTTTTACTGATTTGTAGGTATCTGGTTCATACTCGTCTACACTAAGTTTGTAGGTATTCAAAGCAATCTGTAAATTGGTTAAAATAGGCTGTAATTTTTTTAGACAAGAAAGGTAGTTGGGTTTCATCTATTTCTACTAAGGTATTCTGTAAGAAGTCAATTCGAACTTGAGCTCGATCACATTATCGCCTGTCATTTGTTGAGAGTTGAGATTATTTTCACAACTAATGGCGAACCGCAATCGAGCTGTATCATAGTATAAGATAAGATTTTAATCGATTCTGGGGATTTGCTTTTAATATTTTTGGGCATTCTCCTTTCCTAATCAAAAATAGCACACATCGTAATAATTACTTATCAAACAAAATGAGGGATTGAGGATTGCGTCAAATAAATGTGGCCGGAGTCTGTATGTGATCATGATGAAGAGGACACTACGCATCTACCCCAAAATCGCCCACCCCATCTCATGTAACGTAGGTAATTTAAGTAAACTAAATACTTATCTAGATATACGTATAAATGTTACTTAATGCCAAGAAAAGTCGCGTAGAGCATTTCTTATTCTGTGGTAATGCTTTGTGCCGTTAATCCCTATTTAGGCAGTCGCAAGCAAGATACTTTTTCTATTCTAAGTAGAGCCAATAATTATAGTTTTTAATTAAAATCTTTTTGATTTCCTTACATGTTCACCAATGCTTCTTATACCATCAATATATACTTCCACGGCTGCTTCAGGAGTATTGAAAGGATCCACGACAATTAATCCTTTCCATTCCGAACTCTAAAAATATGGGTGAGTTAAATTCGTCGAGTTTTAAAAGTTTTAGGGCCTGTTTCACCACCCTCATAGGTGCCCGATAAACTTATGTGGCAGACAGTTGTATTTTACATAAAAATTACGTTCTTTAAGATAGTACCTACATATTATAGCGATACCAACTAGTGCGTAGCGCTGCGTTGTCTCGTCGCAGCGTCGTTTTCCATATAAAATTATATTTTTTGCTCACTTCTGCCAACGGCTTCGCCAACTTCCCGTGGGATAAAGGTGTTAATTTAGACCTTTACCCCTGTTCCAAACACCCCGAACTCTTCGATGGAGTAACAAACAATAAACAAAAATACAAACTTTCATTTTTATGCATATGCATTTTAAATGCATACAATATTAGTAGAATGACATGCCCCAGACCGTTGTTTTGTCGTTTGAACGAAACGTCGGACTAGAGACGAAGTATGAGGGAGGGTGCAGGGTATCATCGCAACCCTGGCGAGGCGTACAATGTGTTGTTTTTTAAGATTGTTGGGAATTCAGGGTTTGGAGAAATTGGGAAGGGGGGGGGGTGTGTGTAATTGGGCTTCCGGTTCCGGTAACCTCACTGACGTGACGAAATACAACGCAAACTTTGTTTGCTTCAAATCAGTCTTCTGTGAGGTAGTGGTATCACTCTGGTCGAACGTCGAAGCGTGGCTCCACACTTAAGCCGCACTAATGGGGCTTCGCCTTATTGGCTATCGAGACATTGTGAAACAAGCCACTTTTTTTTTATTAAACATGCTGCTGATGCCCAAAGAACTAGCAAGGTAAAAGTGACCAGGAATGAGGAGGTCAGAAATGTAAACAACATCTAGGCAAACACAAATGTAGTGTAGAGGGCATTCGTGGGTTGACGATGACCGCAAGGTAGCTGGTAAAGATTGGATAAAAAGAGCTAAAGATCCCGCTCAGTACCGCGCTATTAGAGAGGGGTACGTCGAGCAGTGGACGTCAATAGGTTGATGTTAATTACTGAAATATAATAACTTTAATAGGTAGGTAAGTAAGTAGTGTACATAGTTACAATACTTACATGTTCCACAGAGAGCCCGAGTGCTGCAGAAAATATCTCTTTTAAATTACTCTCCGAAGTTTTATCAGTTGCCATAAAACGTAAAGAATCTGGAGTATATAAAATACTGAACTCACCGGCCGCTTTTAAGCCTAAGAATCAATAAATATAAGTAATTGAGTACTTTTATATTGAATAATATTATCCCATATTTTTTTTTTTTTTTTTTTTTTAAGGGGGGAAAATCATCGAATGACTGCTCCCGTCTGGGTGAGGCGGAAGGGAGTGTCAGACTCTTACTGACTAAAAACCACCCCGTTCCTTCTCCTGCACGTCGAGCCGGAGCCCCGGTTACCCGTTAGGTTCTCCGCGACTCCGAATCGGCATCGGCCCTATTGGGCCCCATCTGTGGTGGTCTGATGGCTCTTTGAGGCGCGCGCGGAACGCGACGCGCCGTACGCTCGGGTCTGTTTCTGGTCGGACGGGGAGCCACCCATGCTCGCCGTCCGCAGGCCCGCGCTTACGGTGGCCGGAGATCGTCTCGCGATCCCCGACGCCCGGTGTGTCCTTCGCGATGGCTGGGTTGCGAGGAGGCAGCGCTTCGCTGCCTCACGCGTCCCGCCTCCTCCTTAGCTAGCATGACTGCTTCGCAAAAGGAGGAGACGGCATCCCAATCCCCCTCGCTCCGCATCATGGCCCGCACTAGGCCCGGACGCGAGAGGTCGCCATCGCCGATCACTTCCCTGAGGGCACGGCGGTGCTCAGCCCACGCAGGGCATTCTCCCACTGTGTGTTCCACCGTGTCCTCAGGGCGGTCCTCGCAGTGATGACACCCGGGCGTTTCCTCCCGCCCCATCAGACACAGGTACCTCCCGAAACTTCCATGTCCGGTGAGGACCTGCGTCAGGCGGTAGGTGAGGACGCCGTAGCGTCTCTCAAGCCACTCCTCAAAGAGGGGACTTACCGCTGCAATGGCAGCGAGCCCAATTATCCCATACTACAAGCATACCAAATAAAACATTAAGTACTTACCGATTATTTTTAAAACAACAGTTATTAAAAATAGTGTCTTGTTTGTGCTGTTTACACCCATGTTTTTAAAGTAATATCCCTGGTTTTTATAATAATATCCTATGGTTTTTAAATCCTTTTGCTTTATTATTTATTTTACGTCCAACGACAATTCAATGAAATTGTTACGATTCCATATTTAAAATTATAGCAATTGTCCGCCGACGTACCTACTGTTACTGTACTTTTCATGCAAAACTCATTAGTTCCTTATACTTATTATAGGTACTCTTTGCTCTTTAGACAACATTGAAACAAGTCGCTTCCGTATAGGTAGGTACTTATTAAACTCTTTGAGGCTTCCCTTGGTTTCCTACCGAAAATTCATAAAAAATACAGTATTAAAAAATTGAGGGTTCGCCTAATAATGTGGCCGGAGAATGTAAATAACATAACAATCCTACCTATTTAATTTATTGACGTGGCAATAGGTACCTAAAGTATGGTGTGGTGGCGGCCTGGTGGCGGCTCGTAAACACAAACCTATGAGCCGGAAAACATAAATTATATGGGTATTGGTTTTATACATTTAGTATGGTAAGGCACGAAAGTAAAAAGTATTGTGTGTTGTATTATTATTAGACCCATGCCATGGACACGAACTTTGCGTACAGTTACTTTGTAGCCATGGTCACTCGGCACACACCGCGACATCAAAGGTGTCTGTGACTTTTGATTATTCACTCTTATATTCACTTTGTACTTGTACCTCTATCCTCTATAATTATAAATTCAGTTGAGATTTTTGTATTCGTGAGGTGTACTCGTGAACTAAACGCAGTGATAATGATTTGCTAGTCTGTGGTTTGTGGTCTGTCAACTGTGATTTGACAATTGACATTACTAGTGTTACTATTCCTTAATGTGTGTAATTCTATCTAATGTGTGATTGACTGACAATGGATTGACAATTTGAATTTTTGAATTATTTTCCTCTGTACTTACTATACTCTTTAATCTTACTTATTATTTTTTAATTACGTGACAGCTCGCTGTGCGATTGCGGTCTTGATGAGGGTACCTTATACTTTAGATATTTTACTTGCCCACCATATAGCACAATAGTTTTCGCCACTCACATCATTCCTTGGTCTATTTAACTGACGTGAACAACCTATTAGTCTTGAACCTTAAACGAATATTCGATAAGCAAATCATGTCTAACACGATTGTTCAGTATATTTTGCTCCGTACCGACTTGCTGAAGGAGTTGGGATGGTCAATAGGATCAGTGGTGGCGCAGGCTTGCCATGCATCTACTGCTGTACTTCACTTGTACAAGGACGATGAGACAACAATAAAGTACTTAGATGATATGGATAATATGCACAAAGTTGTGTTAGAGGTAAGTAATTGTGTGACTACTAACACCACTACATTCTTTTAGTACTTTACACAGGGCTTAGTACGAGTTTGTTTTATGGTAACAATCAAAGTGAGACCATGTTTTGCGCTCTGATTGGTTGGTTTATTCGCTCCGGCTAATTAGAGTGTCGAATGTACTAGTTTCAATTACTTTAATGTAAAACTTGTACTAAACCCTCCAGACATACAGGTATCTCTAACAAATGCTTCTGAGTTTGTTCTTTTACTTTTACCTTTTTTTATATTTGATGGGTCAACTTGAAATAATATCTTAGTATTGTGATAACTTACTATCAATGGTAGTGTAAGATTTGAGCAGTAAGTATCCTTAGCGATTTTGCATCATCTCAGGCTGCTGATGATAGTTTTATAACTGGTTTCAAGTTACCTTTAAGATTACTGTGGTATCTACAATTTCTTTATTTTATTTTTTCAGGTGCCCAATCAAGAATCATTACTAAAAGTATCAGAAAAATTAAAAGAAAACTTTGTCTCGCATAAACTGTGGATAGAACAACCTGAAAACATACCAACATGTATAGCTTTGAAGCCATACCCTAAAGATGAAGTAAAAAAGTTTGTAGGCAAATACAAGTTATTGAAACTCCAAATGAAGGGAGAATAATGCATTTATTGGTGTAAGTATAGAAATATTTTATTGAATAAATAAATATTTATTGATAAACATTTGTTTTGACTAGCTCTATTCTTGAATGAATTATGTTATTGAATAGTGGTAGGCTTAGACCCAGATATGCAAATAAGATATCTATTTTTTCATAAGTAAAATGCCTTTTACTAAATTCCTGTCCTATTTTCATTCGAATTGTTGATGTAGTAAACAAAGCTGATATATAAAATACTCATGCTTAGCGAGACATCGGGGATAGTAATGCTATAGATTAAAAGCTTAGATGAAGCACTCAACAGTAAAAAATAAATGTAGCATAGTAATTAATTATTATGTTTTCGGCTTACTCACGTACCTAACTGTTTGACGAGTAGCAACGCGACAGTCGCCGCGTTGTGTCGCGGAATACTGCTCATGAATATGAGCCTCTAGAATGGCTTGAAACTAGTTGAGTTCTTTGTTAACAGTTACGTGAGTAAGCCGAAAACATAATAATTCAGTTTAGGTAATTCACGCAAGTTATAATATACTTAAACATAGCTAGGTAGGTAATCTCATATTTTTGTAAATTCATGACTATAAAGATTAATTTCGTACTTTCCTAATACACTATTTCACATAAAGAAGACACTACTGACTTATGTAGATTCAATAGAAGAACACCTAATAATTCTGCAACACTTGTGATTTCTCTTACTTACAAACGGGCACGGGTGTAGGGCGGCGCTGATTGCTTACCATCAGGCGATAAGTCTGTTCGTTCGAGTAAAAAAAGACCCGAATCAGTGCATGCAATCAGCAGATAGGCAAGTACATGAAACGGACTTAACCCCTCGAGCGTCCTTATGAGCACCCGGTGGATCATAAAAAAAAATGCTCCATGATGCTTTCTCTTTTATAAAATGTATTATTAATGTTTTGTTTTTATTTTGACTGTATTTTTTATTTCTATTGTAATGATCCTTGTTTTCGTGTGCCAATGGCCAAATAAATGCATTTTCTTTCTTTATTTCTTTCTTTCTCCGAATGTCACGTGTGCACCCGTTGGATCATAAGGAACGCGGACGCTCGATGGGTTAATTACTCTAAATTCGTAAACACCAGCATAACTAATAAAAATGTTAATAAATTCGTTTTGTAACTCTCATAACAACCTATTTCTTTCGGCCTGAGATTTTTTATTACATTATAAATTATATTGCAATTAAGTTTGCCCTATGGTTCTCTTTCGTCACGTGGCTCCCTCGTTGTAATGTTACGCAAACTACGCTTGCCTATGTAATGTACCTATAGTTGAATAGCAACGTAATTACATAAGCCTTGAATAATGGTACCCGAGAACTTCAAAGGTAATGCAATAGATTTTTAATTTTGACCATGTACTTGATTATACCTAAATAATTAACGCATCTGTTATATATGTTTATGTTATCTGTGGCAAGCTAGCCAGTTTCAATAGGGAAACCTATTTATGTTCTTTTGTTTATAAAAAACTAACGACCCGCCCCAGCTTCGCAAGGGTGCAATATGCATTTATTATACACATAAACCTTCCTTACGAAACACTCTATCTATTACAATAAACCGCATCAAAATCCGTTGCGTAGTTTTAAAGATCTAAGCATACATAGGGACAGACAGACAGCGGATAGCGACTTTGTTATACTATGCAGTTACGAGTGTGTTTCTAACTAGCTTGTTTAATTCACACGATAGTTAATAATTGCATTATATAATAAAAATATACAACGTACGTGATTATACCTAAATAATTAACGCCTCTCATCAATTTATTTAAAAATTAAAATAATATTTTTGTACTACCTACGTTGTTTTTTTGTAAGAAATTCAACCGTCGCGTCGGCGTTCACGAACATTCTTATTTCTCACTCGATACAATCTCTCAAAAATCCTTTTCATATAAAACCGAGTAAGCGAAACTACTAATCCCCCAGATATTACCATACAAAGAGTGAGGTATTGTAATATGTAGGGTTTCAATCACATACTGAGTTTGTTGAAATATCAAAAGTATTTTTCTATGTGAAGCGACAGCTAATACGTACTATCTGCCCGGACGTGATAAACTATGGCTGTCCTCTACAAACCACTCTGGATTACTGAGGTACCATAAATTAATCCCAAACCTTCATCCCTCTGTTGTAGAGACGACATTAGCACAGCACAACACATCGGACATCGATTATCGCATCGCACATCTTAGCTTAGTTTAGCACATCGAACGGACTTTCGATATGTTAAGGAAAGTAGATCACACCCAGCTTAGTTAAAAGTCTGATCTGAAATCTATTTATCCCTGCGCTATATCTTATTGGTACGGTATGCACGGTATTAACCTTATAGGTCTGGCACCCGTTAACAACAACTATGAAACAATTGTTAAAAACCCTTACTTATTTGAATTTATTGTTTACTAGCTTTTACCCGCGGCTTCGCTCGCGTCACAAAAGGATAAAAAGCCAATGTGACATATACTACCAATACACACACGTCTGTAAAAATTCAAAGCAATAGGTTTAATAGTTACGGCGTGAAAGCGGAACAAACAAACAAACTCACTTTCCAATTTATAATATTAGTAAGGATGTACATAGGTACCTACATACACCTACAACACAAGGGACAACACATACTTATATAAAAACAAGGTACAAACGTTCTCATAGGTGCTTTGTTTCTCAAGAAACGAAATAATGTTTGCAATCAAACAAACTTGGTAGGTAAAGTACTTATTAACCTAGCCTACCTGGCATTATGGTTAACTGGATATTTTTACCGTCTGAGTTATTTAACTAAGAGGCGATTTTTCAATCATCAGTTAATTCTTAACTGTAGAAGAAAATTGACATTTGACAGTTTTTAGTATGGAAGAATGGTCAAATATCGAAAGTTATACCTAAGTTGAAATTTGTCTAAGCATTGAAAAATTGGCCCTAAACCAGTTTCGGCAACCGGTTACCAATATTATGTTTGGATGTTTGTATTTAGAATGTTTGATCTTCATTGCCGATGTAACTGCACTCACAAGTAATAAAATGCTTAACCTTTTGACTTTGAGTACCCTCATTATAGACACAATTAAAGAACAATAGGTTGCGGTCACCGGTGTCTTCGCGGTGTTTGACAGTTTAAAGGCTGCTGAAAGGCTACTCAATTTTAAGTTGTAGATACTTAAATATCGTGCCATCTTTGTCATTTTACAAAGAATTTGTAGTATAATAACTATATGTATAACTACTTAAGCGCGACTTAATTGAGTAACGTTTCAGTATTCGTTTATTGGCGCCGGCTAATCAGAGGCCTTAGTACGAGTTTCTTTTTCGTTTAAAGTAATCGTAACGAGGACGCGTTCGGCGTTGTGATTGGCCGGCTCCAATGAACCAACCAATCAGAGCGCCGGACGCGTTATTTGTATGGGTATATACAAATCAACAATCCTACATATTATGTGAGAACAAGAAACATAATATTTTTTTTGTATTTTGATCATCACTAATTTTAGTCAATGTGCCTCAGTCCGCTTCGACTCAGCAAAAAAATACAGAATTATTTGTCCATAATATTTAATGGTGACCTTCAAAAATACGTAAATAAATTCAAATAAATAATTAATTTATGTAAAAACTGGCCTCGTCGTTCAAAGGAAGTAAAACTGGAAGTGATGATCTTGATTTACCTAATGCAATGCGGAAATAGTATATTGAATACAATATTTTCAAATTTTATTTCTTTAACAAGACAACCTGATGTATCTTTTTTATACCTTATCACCAATAGCCATGACGAAATTAAAGCTCTGTCGATCCTTCATCGGATATGAAACAGGTGCGATAATTAAACGAAGTTAACATTTTGTAGTTTCAAATCTACAAACAAAAACAGAGTTGTACCCAAAATACTACCCTGTGGAACGCCAAATCAATTTATCATATTGACGACACCGACGGCACGTAAAAGGTGACATCATTAATTTGGTCCAATCGTTTTAAAGATATAGGGGTTATTGATCTTTATTACAACATTATTAATATGTACGTAGATAACAATTAAATAAAACATATCGTTGAAAGTAATCCTATAACTCTAACTGTAACCTAATGATACTAGTGTACCCAACTTCGTACTTTGTAATTATGTTCTTAGACGTATACTCAATAATGTTGGCGACCCTGACTGTGATTGTAACTTGATCATGCGATAACAAATAACTTATTTAATCAACAGTAATGTGTACCTACGTCCAAGAATGACTAACGTAGAAAATGCAATGTAAGGTGCACGTAAAATATTCTTATACCTGTTTTGAATTATTAAAAAAATGAAAGGCCAGTGTTGACCGAAACTTTGTAACGCGTGCACGCATACTTCGCATACTAAGCGATACGAGACTCAGTTTTAAGTTGAGCGACCACTATTGTTTTAAATAACGTAGTTCGTGAAAGACATTTAACAAGTGAACGTTGGAGAACAGAAAAATAAACTTATAAATAAACATGACGGACAAAAGTTTGGATATAATAGTGATGGGTGCTACGGGGTTTACAGGAAAATGTACCGTGCAACACCTTGCAAGACTTACAAAAGAAAAGTATTGGGATGTAACTTGGGGAATCTCGGGGCGTTCTAAGGATAAAATGCAGAGTTTAGTCACGGAACTCAATAAATTGGGTAAGTTTTGTTAAGGATTTCGTAAAATATACATAAATCTCAGGATGATGAATTCTCTTTATGAGTTTTGCCGATTCGCTTACCAACTTATGTGGAAAGAGGAAAAACAACAATACGGAGCAATTTCATGGATTTTGATTAATAGATAGCTCCAGATAGGAAGGACGTCGTGCATTAGATGCCAACATGTGCATTTTCCTTGTCATTCTCATAAATTAATTTTAGCTTTGCTCGCAAAACCAGCATCGGCATATTGTACAGGTAGGTCCTGTAAATATTTTGCAGTACCCTATACGCTATCGTACCTAACTAGCTACAGACAATTATTAGTTCTATACTTAAGTAAGAGACAACTAACGAACAACCAGACCATCAGTCCCAAATAATTCACGTTTGTCCTTTAGTTTCCTTTAAAAAAACCTGAAGTCATTCAAAAAACCCGCACCGGCGTATTTACTTAGCGACCTTAGTATGGCCTTAATGAATGTCGTGGCCGAATCTTTGAGAGGCTCCGTAAGGCATGTAGGACATAAGACAGTAGGCCCAGAAATGTTTCTCAATATAATTATAGGTACTTTTTGAATTTCGGGTCTCGTAAAGTGGTCCTCTGTCGTCTATTATTATGGTTATCCATTTCGAAATACTCAATTGTAGTTTCTAGTAGGTTGTTGCGAAGATTACTATCCTCATCCTCCTCCTCCTATATAATTTAAAAACACGCTTCTACTTTAGAAAAAGGGACGACTTTAAAGATTGCACTTAGGGAAGCGCACAAGCTGTAGGTACTAAGGAGCAAAAGGGGATGACTTATTTAGGTTGTTACCGTACCAGTACCAGCATAATTATATAGTCATTTACCTATTTATTTTTAAAACAAAATAGATGTTAGATATATCTAAGCAAAACGTAACAAACTCGTCCTCAACTTTATGAACTCGTTACCCAGATATGTAGGTACATATAGGTACGTTGTTGGCTACGAACAAAGTAATTTTAATATTATTATTATGTCTTTATTATGTTTAGGTAGGTACCTACTTATGCATCTTAAACACTTCATATTATCTATGTTTAGTGGCAAGTTAGATACATCAGTTAGACTATATAGGTACCTATTGTTTTAATTATAAAGTTATACAGAGTTTTACACACGCAACTATTGACGTTTTTCCGGTTTCCAGTGTTTTGTTTTTGCTGTAAATACGTAAGCACCGTAATGCCGGGTCCACACGCTTGGCAAACAATAGCAATCAGCGAACAACAAACTGCAAACACGAAAATGTGCATGTGTGTTTGTATGTGTGTTGTGTTGGCCACTGTCCTGACCGGCATCGGTGTCGGATAGTGGCGAACACAAACACAGATCATAGGCTGTTCTGCAAACTGTTTACGTTGTTTCCATCACATCGATGTTTGGGACTTTATTTGTTGTGTTTGGTATTTAAATTCCACTTACCTAACTAAAATCTTATGACTACAGTACTTACACACACCCTAATAATTGTTCTACATTATTTTTTCTATATAACACAATCCTTTGTGATTTCCGTTCTGCGATTACCTACGTAAAAATTTTGGTCCTGAACAATTTGTAATTGTTGAATTCGCAAGAATTTAGGTAATACAAATATTTACCTAATTAGTAAGAACACATTAGTTTTGGCTAGAACAAGTTTAGACTAGGTAGATGAATTAAGTACTTAATTACAAAGACAAGGTAATCAATCAATCAAATAAGTAGTACCTAATTATTACGGTCCTACCTATGGCTGAGTAAATTATTGTGGATCATACAAAGAGTTGTGCAACGGGAACTCACGTTGACCAGCTACTGCGCCAACCGTGCAGTGAATCTTCGATTTTATTCACATTCTGTTGTAACAACATAATCAACGTAATTCTCTGATTATTATTATTTCCATTTATTTATTCTAAATTCTCTATAAAATACATTTTTAAATACTATTTACAAAAATATAAAAATAATATTTAAAAATATAAAAAATAGGAGCCAACCAGTAGCGGGAGCATGGTCCAAGCTACCGGTGGTTAGGGCTCCAGAGACAGAAACCTCCTCACGATACGTGCCGTTTCAAGGAGCACTGCCTTCTGTATCAGGCCCTTGACCCAACTACCTAACGCTAGCCTCCTAAGGTGGTTGTCGAGGCTATTAGGGATTAACCCATTGGCCGATACGACTATCGGCACAATGATAGCCGAATCTACATTCCACATGTCGACAACCTCGTGAGCCAAATCAAGATATTTGATTTGTTTATCTTTTTCAGCTTTCACGAGGTTCTCATCATGAGGAATAGTGATATCGATTATCATCGTGCGGCGCAGTTGTCGATCTATCACCACTATATCAGGTTTGTTGGCTATAATAGTCCTGTCAGTGATGATAGACCGGTCCCAGTACAACGTGATATGGTCATTTTCCAGAACTGGGTCGGGCACATACTTGTAGTACGGTACCTCAGACTCAACAAGTCGATAGTGCAAAGCAAGTTGCTGATGGATAATCTTGGCTACTTGATTATGCCTATGCAAATATTCAAATATTATTATTATTATTATATATATAGAAAGCATTAAAATAAGTGTCTCGGTACCTATGTTAATTAAATTCTTAATGCATTCTAAGCACATTAGCTAGAAAGTTGAATAACAAAAAAAAATCACGGTCTAATTGCTAAAAAGACGTTTCGATCCAATGTTAGATACATTATGAGTAATTGTTACCTAAGTAGACGTATCCTGTATGTAACTATGTAATTATTAAATTTAAAAAAAAGACTTAGTGTTTCTTACGTAATGACATGGACAATATCTATTACCTACCTACTATAATTTGATTGACATTTTACGCAATTCAATAAGTAGGTACTGCGATTTGTATTCAAAAGCTATTTAAGTAAGAATCTTAAAACTAATTTTGTAATATGTAATAATATAATAGGCCTATGATGGTTCGTGCAGTCGCGGTGAACCTAACGGGTAACCGGGGCTCTGGCTCGACGTGCAGGAGAAGGAACGGGGTGGTTTTTAGTCAGTAAGAGTCTGACACTCCCTTCCGCCTCACCCAGGCGGGAGCAGTCATTCGATGATTTTCCCCCCTTAAAAAAAAAATGATGGTTCGTGCAAGGCGCGTTATTGGGGCCAGCGCTATTTTTTCGACATTCATTAAACTGAATAGGTACGTAGCAATAACCTTAGTACCTAGCGACATTTGCTCATTAATGGCTCGTTTGTTAAATATTCGTCCTCGCAATACAAACCGCACTAATATCCTCTCGCGCGCCTCTCGTACACACGGGTAACCGCGCGTTCTCGTATAAGTACACGGGTAAATATTTTAATAGAAAAGCGAATTAACTATTCTGTTCAATCAAATAAAGAACGGGTTGCAAACTTGAAAATATACCTACGTCACAGAAAAAATATCTAATCGGTGCGCGTTTCTCGTACACCCGTGTGTACAATTGCGCGATGGGCACTCAACTCTCTCGTACACTCGTACGAGAAACACGCGAGAGGATATAAGATCAACTTACGTAAATATTATATTCATATATGAAGCAGGGGTACTTAACAATTTTTTTGGCAGTCATGTAATTCATGATTTTCATGCTACAGGAGATGAGCCTAGAGGCGCCTAAAGGTGCCTAGCATTTTGGAAGAAAGACTAGGGATTGTGGCATTTTTACTTCACTAAAACCACTCCAGTGGCCCTCACCCTTACAGGTGTAAGCGACACCGGTACTCGAACAGACCTGCTCCAGAGCACCCAGGGTACCTACCTAGTATCTACAACGGACACATGTTTAGTAGGGTCGGTACAAAGTTTCGAAAACCCCAATCGGGAGACAAGATCGATGAAGATTACTTCCAAGTTTTCCAACCAGCCGATTTGAAAGCATAGTCTATGTCTATTCAATTTGGGAACATCTAATAGCGAATAAGACCATATGATTAATAACTTCACCCCATCTTAGAATAAAACCCGAATCTAAACAATTCAGGACAAAATCATTAAATTAACGTTTTTCTCATCCCCAGGTCTGGATGTTAAGAATATTCCTATGATTGAAAGCAACGTTGACAATCGTGAGTCGTTAAAGAAGGCCCTGCAAATGGCGAAGGTGGTTATAAACTGCACGGGACCAAACTCCGTGCTGAGTGCTCCTATTGTGGAGGCTTGTATCGAATCTGGAACACATTACCTTGACATATCTGCTGAAATGTTTGTAAGTGATTTTCATTTATTTTCGCCATTTTTCAAATCCATGTAGATAAATTATTGGTAGGTAGGTATCTCCACTTAAACCTTCTTCATCTTTTGATAAAAACCGTACAAAAATCCATAGCTTCTGAGCTTGTCATTGTTCAATCATAATAGCAAAACAGACACAGACGAGAAAAAAGTTTTCTTTTTATAAGGATTTGTACACAAACAAATATGTACTCTGTCAAGAATTTAAAAATAAAATAAATAAAAAGAAATACTTATTGTAATAACTTTCAAGTCTCTTTCATTAATAATCTTCAACCCTCTCTTTTTTTGAAGTCCGTTAATTAAATAATTAATATACGAAGACCTTCCTCAAGTGTAACAAACACTTTACAGAAGATCGCATTAAAATCGGTAGATAATCGCGCACAACATCTATACATATAATAAATCTGTAGAAAAGTAATTTTTGTACATTGAAGATATTGACAAAAAAAATAGCCAGCGTGTTAAAAGATAACTAACAGAACCCATTTCCATCATTTTTGAAATTTTTGTCTGTTTGTTTGTTTATTTGTGCGCGCATCACGTAAAATCTACGAGTTCAATGCAGACATTGCTTACATACAAAAATTCAACTTGAGGTATAACTTAGTTTTTGTTTTATCGAAATCGGTACATTCTATCAGATGATATGATTAATTTAGTGAGTTCAAGAAGTAAAATATTACAACACGCAATTCAGTTTATTACTCGAAAACACCTTTGGAAAATTGGTTTCGTTTGGTTTGAAGTGCAAAGTAAAAATACTACTTGATATTTGAAACAAGTAGAATAGGCTATTTTTTTTTAATGGGTGAAAATCATCGAATGACTGCTCCCGTCTGGGTGAGGCGGGAGGGAATGTCAGACTCTTACTGACTAAAAACCACCCCGTTCCTTTTCCTGCACGTCGAGCCGGAGCCTCGGTTACCCGTTAGGTTCTCCGCGACTCCGAATCGGCATCGGCCCTATTGGACCCCATCTGTGGTGGTCTGATGGCTCTTTGAGGCGCGCGCGGTACGCGACGCGCCGTACGCTCGGGTCTGTTTCTGGTCGGACGGGGAGCCACCCATGCTCGCCTTCCGCAGGCCCGCGCTTACGGTGGCCGGAGATCGTCCCGCGATCCCCGACGCCCGGTGTGTCCTTCGCGATGGCTGGGTTGCGAGGAGGCAGCGCTTCGCTGCCTCATGCGTCCCGCCTCCTCCTTAGCTAGCATGACTGCTTCGCAAAAGGAGGAGATGGCATCCCAGTCCCCCTCGCTCCGCATCATGGCCTGCACTAGGCCTGGACGCGAGAGGTCGCCATCGCCGATCACTTCCCTGAGGGCAAGGCGGTGCTCAGCCCACGCAGGGAGAATAGGCTATAGGTTTTTTGAAATCTGGCCTGTACGGTCGGTTTAAAACGTCGTACGAACGACCTTTTTGTAACATAATGTATTTGAACGAAACCTACCAAAATCAGTCCAGTATACAAGTAATTGTAGTTGTAGTGTTTTGTTTTTTCAAATCACTGTATTTACAATAATTAAGTAGTTTTTTTGTTGTTTTTTTATCATTTTTTTTTTCTATTTTTATTTACTGTCATTTATTATTTGGTTTGGTGCAGAAATAGCAATTGCTACAAATTTAGACTACCAAGTTGCGATCTCCGTTTAGTAATATGACTTTTATCTTTATTAACGTAAATAACTTTTTTTACGGAAAAAAGCTTTAATATTTCCAAATAAATAAATACTCTTTAACATTATTACGCAATAAACTTCTGAATGCATGTAGAAATAAAGAACAAATTTGTATCATCGTTCGGGTAAATTCGTAATTCTCCGCGTAAGTGGCAAGCGCGAGGCGAGCTGCATTATGATTATGAACGACCACACTGGGTATTAGTGAGTATGGCGTCAGACCCGGTCAATAGGGCCGTACTGTCAGTTCTGTCACAGTCTATACAGTCGTCCAACGAAGACGTGTAGACAGGGCAATCGTGCGCGGTGTGCAGGGCGAGACGCGGGTAGGCCGATCCCGAGCTGCGAACAAAACGATGTTAGTAGCTCGGGATATATTATTCAGGGCTACCGCGTGTTTGTTTTTACCGACTCCAAAAAAAGGAGGAGGCACTATGTTGGAATGATTGTTTCTTTTTATGTATGTTTGCCGTTGCATGAAATTTTCAATTTATCGTCATGGGTCGTTTTCATGGTTTTCGAGGGTGGTAAAACCGTTGGTGGTGTTAAAATGTAAATCCAAGATGGCGGCTGCACGAAATTTTTAATTTATCGTCATAGGTGTCGTTTTCACGTAACTACATTGTTTGGGTTTGTATAATTTGTATTGATTAGAACTTGTAGTGGCAAAACGGGTCTATGTAGTTTTACACTAAAAATTACAAAATAAAAAAACTGCGTTTAAAAAAACCGACTTCTCAAAAAACCTAAAAACTAAAAACAAATAAAAAGTAAAAACTGAAAAGCAAAAAATTAACCATATTAGTACTGATGAGTTACTCACCCACTGACCGAGTTTTAGTCGGTGCCATAAGCTCATATTTTTGACAACCCTGGCCGATGCGTTACTGTCTAGACTCTAGACGATGTCGGCATTTTACACGAGTTCAAAGGTTATGAATACGAACAGAAAGAATATTACATACCCAGTATGCGTACTGGTAAGCTCAAACTAGGTATTCATACCTGTACCAGTAAATACGTATCATCCCTAAAGTAGAAGTATTTACTTCTGAGTTTGAATTCGTTAAGTCGTGACCACGAACAGACGATTTGCTATCATACGAGACTGTTCGACGCACCGATCTTTAAAATTTTGTCGGTTTTGTATATTGCTTTGATATTTTCCTTAAAAATACCTCAAAGAAATAAAAACAAAACGGTTTTTGTATAATGCTCCGGGTAATTCAACCGCTAATATAGTATATAGGGAAGCATTAACGTAATCAATTAGATATCAATATTACCAAATAAAAATATACTATAGTCAGGACCTTTATTGGCAAAAAAATACTATACCACCTTCTTGAGTGGAGTTCATATGTATATACCCCACTGTTATCTAAACGATGTTGTTTTGTTTTCGACAACCACGTGAACGATATCGCGGGCACAGCTACTACATACATAAATACATAATTATACAGGTCAAACTGAGATCCTTTGTTTTTTCTTCTTGAAGTGGGTAAAAAACGTCAAATCAAGGTCACTAAATTAAAGATGAAATTCATGGAAATTTAATGAAATTGAGAAATATTTATTGCTGTGCTGATGCTGTTCAAGTCTTTTTTCTTTTAAGGGGGTAAAATTATCCAATTACTCTTGCCTCAAAAGTCTGTCACCCCCTCTTTGAAGTGTCAGAGCCCCGTCAACCCGTTAAGTCCTCCGCGGCTCCATATCGACTTATCGACATCAGCCCTATTGGGCCCCATCCGTGGTGGTCTGACTGATGGCTCTTTGAGGCGTACACTTTTACTTTTCGTAAGAAGACCGGTTCCGATTTCCTAACACCCATTCAAAATTTGTAATAGTATACCGAATTGTATACGTGTGTAATGGTAAAGGAATGTTTGCTATGGAAAATTACAATAACAAGCCCACAAAAAATGTTGATATACAGGTAGGTGCCTAACAGGTATTTTGAACTTAAATTCGTTTGCTAAGAAGTCTAAGCAATAACTTGATCAACTTTAATCCTCAAATTCCTAATCCCCAAAAGGCCAGTAACGCACTTGTAACACCCCTGGTGTTTCGGGTGTCCACCCACGGGCGGCGTCGATACCATCAATCAAGTAATCCGTCTGCTCGTTTACCTGCTTATTCTTTAAAAAAACTTGTGTCTCTAAAAACGCCAATGTCATAAGGTTGTGTTTAATTTTGTAGTTACTCATAGAACTCACAGACAAGAGACAAAGGTTAAATAGATATATAACTACCTATTTATTCGAATTTAACCTTAGAACCTCCTATTCACCTATTGAAATGGTATTTCAAGTTTATTGCTAAGTTTTGAGAATGCATAAATTAAATAGTTACAAACACTAAGGCATGATATACATACAAACAATAAGCTAGCTACATTATCCCTTACTTTTAAAGAGAACACACCATAGTAGGTCAGTTTGGTAACGACTGAAACTGCCAATAGATACCTACGTTATAAACATAGAAACATATATATGAGCTAAACGTTAATAATAATAGTAGTAGTTACTGAATGTCTGTCTGTTTGTCTGTAAAAACGCTATTGTAAAAATTGAGTAACGTTTCAGTACTCGGAAATTACTCCTTAATTAATTAATACATCATAAATCAGAACACACTACTGACAGAAATAACTGTTCGAAGGTCCATAATAAGCAGTAAAACACGGACCTCTATTTTTAAAGAAAATGTAAGAAAGCCGACACCCATCAATCCCTATTGTAATCAAATTTACTAGTATGAAATATACATTAATGTTCACCCTGTTTATCTTCAGCATATTCTCCAACTTTACCAAAAATACAATAAGACAGCTGAAGAGGCGAGTGTCTTAGTGGTGCCTAGTTGTGGCTACGCTGCTATACCAACAGAATCAGCTATGATATATCTGGAGAGGCAGTTTAAAGGTAAATATTTAGTAACAAAACACCCTTTTTTTTGAGGGGGGAAAATGATCCAATGACTTCTCCCGCCGCCCGAGCGAGGCGAGAGGGAGTGTCAGACTCTTACTGACTAAAAACCATCCCGTTCCTACTCCTGCACTTCGAGCCGGAGCCCCGGCAACCCGTTAAGTCTTCCGCGGCTCCGTATCGGGTAACAAAACACCCTGATTTTTATTTTAGGAGAAATCTTTTATGGTTAAACTCTAGAGTATGAAACTTTTATCTCATAAAGAAGTACTCCAGTGTGATCAAGTCACTATTATTTCGACCTTAGATATATACTATCTAAAGGGATATTTGGATGTAGAGAGAAAATCGAGCTCATCATCATCAATCAACAGCTTATAAGTGGCCACCTGGCTACTGCTGATCAAAGACCTCTTAGCGCACGGGAAAGGTTTGAGCATTAATCACCACGCTTGCTCAATGCGAGTTGTCGATTTCAAACTTATTATAAGCCCAGGTTTCTTCACAATGTTTGCCTTCACCGTTTGTTTGTGGCACAGTATAAATATATACAGTAGGTTATCTAAGGCCGCCCGCCGAGTTATTAGCCTACTCTTGCGTTGATCCCCAGGGTTGTCACTTTTACTTTTAGTTAATATTTTCGAACAAGCAGCACTTGATCTAAATTTATGAAATGAAAAGCATATTATGATTGAATATTTTATCAATTTATAAATTTAGTAAAAATAAAAAGCTTATAAAAAGATTATTAACTTCTTAAAATAAACTTTAGCTCTATACATAGTATTCAGAAAGTAAATTTGGGAATACATTTATATGGAATAATGCGACACGGCTACGCTCTTAACAAATCAGATAATCTGTGAAATAAACAATACAATACCACATTTTCTTATAATATTTAAGTATAGTAGGTAATTAAATTTCTGGTTGAGTAGGAACTATGAAGAATGATAAGAGTAAGAATAAGTAAGTAGGTATCTCATCATCAAGTACCTACAAATTATATTATGCTAGAAAAAGTGACTAGCTTACCTTTCCTGTTCAATAGGTAATCTGAACAGAGACAGTTATGGAATCGATTAATTATTAAGACACCCAAACACACAGCAATACGTTCTTCTACGGTTATCAGACATTTTTTATTTCATTTAACAGTGCCGAAAAGTGATGCGCGCGCGAACCTCGTGCAGTGTTAGCCCTGCCTGGCGCACTGAGAAACGGGTCGAGATTTTGTTAAAGTGTGCGTGCGTCGACGCATAGATACTATGGCGCACACATATAAGCCGCGCGCGGAGCATTTGTATGAAGATAACCTACTTTGTTCTTTATACTATGTTTGTGGTATCTAGATAATCTTAGAAGGTACATATAACTCGGAAGTGTCACATTGGTACTTGCTGATGGTAGGTTTTAAACCCGCGCCCTCATGCATGAGGCCCGCTCGATTTATAAGACGCGCGATGATGGAGAGGTCATGAAACATAAAATACAGCTAGAAATACCAGCTGTATTAAATGTCACTCCCCTTTACAAAAGCAAGAACTCAAAATGTCCTTATTCCTTTTTCCAGGCACGCTGCATACAGTGGTGTGCTATACAGCATTGGATTTACCAAAGAGAACGTATATTCCTGGTCGTGCTCTCATCCACAATGGAACGTGGACTTCTCTCGTGTATGTGTTGGAAAGTTTCAAGGACCACCTAAATTTGTGGAAGGAGCTGTTCCCTAAGCCTGTTGAGCCGGTACCAGAAGAGATGAACAAGTATGTGTTTTAAAGTATGAAATTTGTTTGGTAACTGCTATTGCCACTAGTTACTACATAAAGTATTTGATAAGTAGATATGAGAAAACTGGCGAATAAGGAAAAGTATCATTTACACTGTACAATCTTTAAAATTTTACATAGTAGATAATACAGTTAACGTACCCGTCTCAAGTGCTCAACTAATTTCGAGCTATGACAGGGGCTCTTGATTTTATGAGTATAATGAGTATACTGTATTATTTAACTAAGTTATTTAGTGTGTCAAAGTAACTAAGAAAGGACTACTTAGCCTCTGGAGGCTTTAACTTTTCTAATTAGATTCAGCAACCAGATCAGTCTTCACTCTTCAGTACCAATTACAAGACAAACATTATGACATTCATTACTAATTTTCTTACAGATCCTTCTTCCACCGGTACAATGGCGAAACGTGGTTCCCTTACCCGGGAACAGAAAATTATGTTGTAGAAATGTCGCAGAGATATTTACATGAAAAAACACAAAAGAAACCTGTCCACTTTAAAGCTTACACAACCATGCCAATGTTCTTCCATTTCATTGTAATCCCTGTAATGTATTTATACTATTATCTAAGTTATTTCAAATGCTTTAGAAACTTGTTAATCAATTTCCCTCGTCTCGTCACTATTGGGTATGCTTCACAAAAAGGACCCACGGAACGAACTAGGAAGGACACGAAATATAGCTTCATTTTAAATGGCAAAGGCTGGGATTTGGGTGCTGACTTGAATACGGAGCCGACAAAGAAGATGACAGTAAAGGTACTCAACTACACTTATTTACTTGACTTTGTTTTATGGCATTTCGGAGCCAACGTCTCAGTACGTCTTTACTAACAACTAGTCTAGTCTAGTACTTGCCAACTAATTCAATACTTTTTCGTACTGTCACAAACTTGAAAGGTTTTTATGTTTTCTATGCTCTATGAACTGTTTACGAGATTGCGTATTGTGACGTCACGTTTTTTTAGCATCACAAAGCATGCTTATTTCTTAAAAATTAGTTGGAAACATATTATAATTAAGTTGGTCATAAAATCAATTAATGAGAGTGTGATTATTTTATAATATTGTATTGCATTAAACAGTCGAAATAATTTATTTTTGATTAAGGAAAGTACCCGATTTTTATTGGTTTAAACTTTTCAAGTTTTTAGTAACCTTCTCTTCTTCTAGATAACGAGGTATACCCTCAAAGAGCACATACCTAGCTTTACGAGATATAGATATAACTACATCACTATATACTACCTCTTTACTAGCCAACGAAATGAGCAGAAGCCTTAGTACTTATGAGTTTGTTTTAAGTTTTACGTAATCGAAACGAGACCGCGGTTGGCGTTCTCATTGGTTGGTTTATTGGAGCCGGCCAATCAGAACCGAAAACATACTGGTTTCGATATTCGGCCCCTCCCCCTACTTAAGAAAATATAATTTTAGAAATATTGTTACAGGTGTCAGGCAGTGATCCAGGCTACGATACAACAGCAATTGCAATTATAATGTGTGCTATCACTATACTGAAGGAAGGTTCAAATATAACTAAGTAAGTACTTACCTACCAATCTAAATTTTTCCCAGCAGAGAACCCTTTTTTGTTAACCGACTTCAAACAAAAAAAGGAGATTTTAATTTTAACCTGCATGTATGTATGTATGTTTTGTGCGTGATTATCTCGCGATTGGGTGAACCAATTTGGATGCGGTTTTCAAAAAAGTGTGTGTTACACTTAGAAGAAGGTTTTAGTATATTAATTCACCGACTCAAAGAAGGAGGGTTGTAGGCGGCATTTTTAAATGTAGTTTATTATAAAGGAATCATTGTAATCCCTATTAGATTAGTTCTCGAATATGACCACATGAGTAGCACTGCTACTGCTACTATAGCAGTTTCCAAGTAATTAAGAATATCTTAGTTATTATATTAAAGGAAGGCAAGGAGTTTCGAGAGTCCTCACTTAGAAAAATGTAATGAAGTTTCTCTACAATACTCATAACAACTACGTACCTTCAGATTTCTAGGTTATGGGCTATTAGTTTCGAATATTTGAATATGTCGTTTACCCTTTTAGTCACTTATTGTGAAGTTTAACTGTGTGAGACCCATTTGCAACGAATGGGCCGGCTCGACCGGAGTGATATCACGGCCTCACAGAAAACTGACGTGAAACAACATTTGCATTGTGTTTCGCCGTATGAGTGGGGTGCTATGCTAAATCTTCCAAGACCCCGAATCCAACCAATCCTTAAATTAGAATAAGAATTCTAAATTTAAGAAGGCCCTGAAAGGCCGGTTACACACGTTGTAAAACCTCTGGTGTTTCGAGTGAACATATGAGCGGCGGCGATTACGTATCATCAGGTGATCCATCTACTCGTTTACCGGCTTATTCCATAAAAATGTTAAATGTATTTATTTTTTATATTTTTCAGAAGAGGAGTCTTGATGCCCGGTGCAGCATTCTACAGAACTGATATAGTTGATAGACTGATGCACGAAGGCTACTCTTTTGAAGTAGTAGGGGCAGGAGACAGTGTTGTACAAGTAGCTTGAAATCTAGATTCTAGATATTGCTAGTAAATGATTGTTATTTAAGATTATTTTTTTATAATGCTAATCTACTTCAATGATGACTGCGTTCTCAGTGGAACAAATATTTCCTTCTATCTCGTATTGTTTTTCTATTAAACCAATGACATAACATAACATTACGCCTTTTATCCCCGAAGGGGTAGGCAGAGGTGCACATCTTGCCACTGTACAATGTAATACCCAATTTTGAAAATTGGGTATTACATTGTACAGTGGCATTTGAATTTTCACTATTCATGTTATGAGTCCCATGTAATAGGGTAATAAACCAATGAATGCTCATTATTTTTAGATCATAAAGTTAGTCTTTGTAAATTAAATCTTCTTTGATTAGTGGTGAAAATGGAATTTTAAACACAATTCTAAGTTGAGTTTTGATAATTATGTTAAAGAACCTAAGGAAGCAGGTTAAGTGGTATTGGGTGGCCGAATATTATGTTAATAAAAGAGTGTAAATAAAGATTAATATTTATGCATAATACCTATTATTTATATTTATTTAAAGACATACCTTTAAATTTATTGAACCTACCTGTAATGAATAGCTCGCCTAAGTAGATAATTAGGTACCTATAACACAATATATATTCTGTAAACTGATAAGTTGATTTCAGTAGTAGAGTGATTTTTATTTTTAACCGACTTCAAAAAAGGAGGTTCTCCGACCTGTATGTATGTATGAATGCGCGATTGTCTCGCGATAGGCTGAACCGATTTTGACACGGTTTTCAAAAATATTATTTCACCGAGTTCATAAACTAGAATTATTAGGTTAATTTATCCACAGGAGTCACAGGACGTCCACTGCAGAAGTGCAGAAAATAATTTTACTCTGATCAATGACTTTATTTACTTTTTAAATTCTATAATCAAAGCTAAAAAGCTTTGATTATAAGCTACCTAACTCTAGGAATGTACATTTGAATTTCCCGCCTTAATCGTTTAGTTATTGCTACTTTTGTAAACAAAACGTTCGCCCATTTATTTTATCGGCGGCCGGTCGCAGAATCGCTGATACAATATTGTTTTTACTTCAATAGTTTACATATACGTGTACACGTCGTACGGATTTCCCAGGAGGCAAATCAGAATTCTCAATGTATTTTTATTACTTAGGTAGTTCAATTTATTCAGTAGCCAGTTGAGGCAATGACAAGTGGTGCTTTTTTAAAATATTTTTTCCTAATACACAAGGAGTGATAAAAAGTGCCTTTGTCTATAATTTTTATTAATACTTGTGTTAAAGTGCTGTAAGTACCAAACTGTTTCTGTTTATATTTATTGATATTTTCATGTTACTTCAGTATTTTAATTAGAGCAATCTTGGCGTTGAATACTTAACTATATTATGACCTATGCGTTACGCCTTGACATTATTCTTAACATCGTAAACACACATATTTTATTACATATCACTACTTATTTCCTGTCTAAGTTGATATTTGAAACAAAGCTAAAAAAAAACTGGAACTTATAGATGTAATTTTCCTCATTATTGTTTATGTTCACCTTCCTGCATATCAAATATCGCTCTTGATATTAATTGAAGGTGTGTGCTGAGAATTAAAAATGTATTAACACATTTTACCTAGTTAATAATAGCTTTGGTAGGCAAGATTCTTATATTCTATTAGCTGTTGCCCGCGACTTCATCCGCGTATGATTCCTGTTTTATCCCATGGGAGCCTTTAATCGGGATAATGAGGCCTAGACCTAAGTCACCCCATACCTTGTCTGTATACCAAATTTCATCAAAATTCCTTCAGTAGTTTCAGTGTGATTGGCGGACAAACATCGAAACAAACTTGCACTCAATTTTTATTTTAAACTACCTGACCCGGCAAACTTCGTGCCGCCTAAAAAATATTTTTCTCACCTTTTAAACCGTCCCTGCACTTCCACGAACATTTCAAGACCAAAATTAGCCAAATCGGTCCAGCCGTTCTCAAGTTTTAGCGAGACTAACGAACGGCAATTCATTTTTATTTGTATAGATGTAATTTCATATGTACTGAGAATTTAGAAATCCAATCCAAAAAATAACAGAAAAATAATTAGATGTGACATAGGTATTTTGTTAACCTTTATTTGAAGGGTTAACTTTAAAGCTTAGCTTCGGTGCACTAATTTTCTTAATAGGTAGTACTGACGCAGATTTTCAATATCTAATATTACAGATAAACAGCATGACAAATGCGAATCTAGAAAAGGCTTTCGACATCCTCGCGAAAGCAAGTGAAGAAGATGACAAGAAGAACTATGAAGAATCGTTCCGATATTACGTGCAAGGCATAATTTATTTACTCCATGTTACTAAATATGAATCTAAGGGAGATTTGAGCAAAAAGCACATAAAAGAAATTACTTCAGATTACATAGATAAAGCTAAGAAGGTCAAGGAGTATCTTGATGCAAAGAAGGTTAACAAGAGCGAATATTTGGAGGATTTGGAAGATCGAACCACAGATAATGTAGTCAATGTCATGGTTGAATTAGTTTGTTTGTTTGGAGATACTACACCGACTCCGGTAACGGTGAATGAAAGTAGTAGTACAAAACAAGAACAATAAATTAAGTGATACAATTTACGACATACCTAACACAAATAAAGGATACAGTAAGTACCTACCTCATCATCATCATCATCATCAACAGCCTATAAATGCCCACTGCTGAGCAAAGCCTCTTCTCACACGGAGAAGGTTAGAGCATTAATCACCACGCTTGCTCAATGCGGGTTGGCGATTTCAAACTTATAATTAGAAATTATAAGTTCAGGTTTCCTAACGATGTTTTCCCTTCACCGTTTGTCAGTGGTGTCTAAATAATCTTAGAAAGTACATATAACTCGGAAAAAGTCACATAGGTACTTGCCGTTGGTAGGTTTCGAACCCGCACCCTCATGCATGAGAAGTGGGCGTCTTAAACCTCCGGGCAACCACGACATTAGACTCGACCTACCTACATAGGAGCAATTTAAATTCCTGACTAATTATAGAGATGGATACCTATCTAAGTACCTACCTACTTTATGTATTAAGGACTTTCTTAGTAGGCAAGTACCTATTACCTACCTATACCTATCTAGAAAGACTGATCCTTCTACCATGACGAAACAGAAAACGAAAAGGTTAGGCACTATAAAAATCAAGGAAGGTACTAGAAGTGGGTATTATGTTTTTGGGCTTACTCAAGTAATTATTTGACGGGGAACTCTGTCTCAAGAAAGTTATAATATAAAAACAGAAGTAGGTACCTAGTCTAACTCACTTACCCACTACAATAGATTAATATAAAGTACTGACGCACCCACTGTCCCACTCCATTATTTCCGATGTTTAGGCACTATTTTTTATAAACAAATTTAGTTATTAAATGGCACCATATTTCCCCCATCATAATGTAATAATAATACGTACGTGAGCAAATTGAATTATCCGCCACTGGCATTAGAGTTAAACCGAGTCTTTATCAGCTTTATATTTATCAGTATTAGCTAACACTATTGTTTTTATTTCTATTTCAATAATAAAATAGGTCATTTGGTTTTTCCAAAACGCAAGAGCATTCAGTTATACAAATAATAACACAGTGATATTATTCAGTGAACGCGTGGACATTGTATATTCGGTTGAGGAACCGACTGGTGCTCGGTGTTATATTTCTAATATTAAAGTCAAAAATAAGTTTGTGTCGTATTATAAAAATCTCAGTAAGTACCTAGACATTATTTACCTAAAATATTCTTACATTAGTACCATTAGCACCTATAACTTGTGTGTTAGCAAACGTTTACACGCTTTACGGACATTTGCGAACGTAAACTCACAGCTCCATAGACGTATAGACTCCTCTGGTGTTGCGGGTGTCCATGGGCGGCGCTGATCACTTACTATCAGGTGATCCGTATGCTCGTTTGCCTTCTATTCCATAAAAAAATAGCTAAGTACTAGAAATAAAGAAATGTATACATAGGTACTTACTTAGGCCTAAAGTAGGTAAAGGTCTATTTACGTACCTGAATAATAAATATCTACTTATGTTCTTTATTTCAGATAAACATCCTGGCAACATAATGGAACATCCTAGTATTACTTTACAAAAAGCTATTGAAATCCTTACAGAAGCTACACAAGACGACAAGAATAAATACTACGAAGATGCATTACCCACTTACGTGAAAGGTGTAATTTTTTTATTTCACGTCTTTAATCATAATGTTGATATCCCAACCGCAATAATGGAAGCAAATTCGAAATCGTTAGCGTATATGCAAAGAGCTAAAAAAATTAAGGACTTCCTAGAAAAGGAGAAGATATTAACAGTGAATAAATATTTAGATGATTTAGAAACGATTACTGACAGCGATATAGTCAACGTTTTGTTTGAAACGATTTGTTTGTACAAAAAATCTGAAGAATCGTCATCAGATCCTGTAAGTGAAAGTAACTCTAGCCTTCATTAAATATTTATTATGTATCTTTGTTGCTTTGTTTTTTTTATCTCACCAATCTCCAACGTCACACACTTCTTTCAAGGCTTAGGTATGTATTCTTTCATTTTTGAGCCGACGTCAAAAAAGGGCGGGGATGTAGTCGATTTTTTTAAACAAAATTTATAAAAGAATTATTTTTCTTGGATGCCTCCTAATCCTATACGTAGTCGCGGAGAACCTAACGGGTAACCGGGGCTCCGGCTCAACGTGCAGGAGAAGGAACGGGGTGGTTTTTAGTCAGTAAGAGTCTGACACTCCCTTCCGCCTCACCCAGGCGGGAGCAGTCATTCGATGATTTTCCCCCTTAAAAAAAATGTAACAATTAACCTCTTTGCTATTAATTTTCCAAAAGGTTCAAAACGTTCAATCAAAAATACAATTTCCATTTACCAATTGCCAGTAGAAAAATTGCAAATTCTAGATAAATCAAAGGTATTAAAATCTAGGAGTGAAATGAAGAAAGTGTAAAAATTATTATAACTGACAGTAAATTATTATTCTGTTTATAATAATGGAATTAAAAATATTTCATTATATTGTGTTACAATTTTATTATAATTGTTAATATTGTGAAAACATTTACACATTTTCTATGCTGGCAATATTAGTCACTAATGTCATGAAAAAGTGACTAACAACGATTTGTCTGTATTGGTATTTTACTTTTTCGTCGCAGTTTAGTGATTTAAAAAGGGATTAAACTGGACTTGTGCTAATAATAAAACATCGCGACATTGCTGTGGATGGTAAGCACACTGTTTTTTGTTTAAATACATACGTATAATACCTAATTTCCATGGCCGTTTGGTCCGTGATCTCATTTGGCTGCCCAATTCGTCATTGGATAATGTAGGCAGAGCCTATGAACACAAATTAACGATGAGCAAGCCTAATTGGCTAAATTTTTCTATATTCAAGTACTGTAAAAAGGTGGGCCCGGATTTCGTTGAAATGTTTTGATAGTCTGATAAATTATTAGATGTTATGTATCTCAGTCGCAATTATGTTTGCTCAGTATTTGTGTTGTAATTTTTCCTCCTATACTGTCATTCAACTTGTGCTCAATCAAGAGCGCCAGTAGATTAAGATGTTATACTTCGATTCACTTATATTTGTCTAATTTGGTTTCAAATATCCAAACCAATTTCCAGAAAGAATTTCTAAGTTACAAAATTTACTAAATGTTGACATTTATCTATGGAGAAAAAGTTAATAATTCAGTATGAAATTGTGTATGTGAACATTGTGCCAACAGCTTAATCTCGCTGGCCACTATTAAAGAAAAATAGTGTAAACTTATTAGAATCTTGCATAATATATTGCTATGTGTATGTATGAAAGTAAGTAATGTAAATAAAAAAGAAAATAATAATGGAGAAACTTAATAATGAATTAATTATTTTGAGATATTACTGCTATGATACCTATTTTTAACTATGACTATGTAAAGCCAAAATAAGTATACTATATATACAAATAAGTATTAGATACAACCAACCAAGGTGGTTGACCATCATCATTAGTTGGCACTTGGCTCATTCGATTACAGGGAAAATAATTAGTGGATAGCGAGTTTGCCACAGGATTTTGTTTTAATTGCTCAATCCCCAAGTGGTCACCCGACCACTCTCCACTAATTAAAGACCTTATTTCCGATGTTTAGAGACTACTTTTGTATGAAGAAGTTTTGGGTACAATATGTCAATGTATTAAAAGTGTACTACTGTAAACTTTGCCAATGGTATAATAATGTATTGGTACTAGGAATTAAGAAAGGAAAGTTGTTAATTTCTGCTTGTTTTGTAGTCTTTATATAACATTCACAAAACATAGAATTTTTTTTATATGATCCTCAGATTTTCTTATAGCTTTTCAAATTATTCTCATTAACAGATAAAATTTTCGAAAAGTATTCTTTCACTATTCACTTTGCCGAGAATTTATTTTTATGCATAAATATGTATTCCTGACAGCGTTAGTCAATATGTATTTTAGTGATTGCATTCACAGCTACTACCAATCTAGGGTTAATTAGCAGTTTTGCTTATTGAAAATTCTTACCAGTCCTTGGCTTGTAGTCGTCTCCTATTATATATGGGACTTTACTATTAAATTAATACTATCTCAGAGAATATCAGTTGTGATTTTGCATGTATGTAATCTCTATTTCTATTCTGTTTTACAATATATTTATAATTACTATAACTATGGCTATGGTGTTCATTATGTGTGTGTCATCCCAGATTTGGTTTCGGGCCAAGAAAAATAACAAAATATTGTTGGATTATCAATATTTTCTAAGTACTGTACCTACAGTTTCATTTTAGTATTGATTGATTAATGTTATAAACCAATTTGAGTAGTACACACGGCTACAAATCGAGGTTTACATAACCAGTATAACCTAAATGTTACATGAGTGGAAAGATAATGCGACGCGACACCAGGATAAACTGGTTTTGTATAGATTGATGTGTGGCCGTGTGTACTTTCCATCAGGGTTATAGATATGTGATGCTGTTAGTAATTGAAGTCCTTGGGATATAAAAACTTGTACCGCATTGTAGTTGAATGATTTTTACTTTAATTTGTGGTTTATTTATTTTATGGGTATTGTCATATGATTGTGTCAAATTTAAAATGGAAATAAATCCATGACTCATAGTCATAGAACATCCTTTGAATAGCATATTACATAGAATTACTTCTTTTGGTGATAGTAAGTTAGTGACTAATTTACGACATATTATAGTGATTAAAACATTTGTTATTGATTTTCAGGTAACAATAGAGTAAAGGAGAATGGCATCATCCAATACTTTGCAAAAGGCCATTGACCTTGTCACAAAAGCTACTGAAGAAGACAAGAACAAAAACTATGAAGAAGCTCTGCGTTTATATGAGCATGGTGTAGAATATTTTCTGCATGCCGTCAAATATGAAGCTCAGGGCGAAAGGGCTAAGGAAAGTATAAGAGCCAAGTGCCTACAGTACCTTGATAGAGCCGAAAAACTCAAAGAGTACCTCAAAAAAGACAGCAAGAAGAAACCAGTCAAGGATGGAGAATCCAACTCCAAAAGCGAAGATAAAAAGAGCGACAGTGACAGTGATTCCGATAATCCTGAGAAGAAAAAGCTTCAAGGAAAACTTGAAGGTGCTATTGTAGTGGAGAAACCTCATGTGAAGTGGAGTGACGTGGCTGGGTTAGAGGCAGCTAAGGAAGCTTTGAAAGAAGCTGTTATCCTCCCCATTAAATTCCCTCATCTCTTCACAGGTAAAAGAATACCTTGGAAGGGAATCTTACTCTTCGGACCCCCTGGTACTGGTAAATCTTATTTGGCTAAAGCTGTTGCTACTGAAGCCAATAACTCAACATTCTTCTCTGTCTCTTCCTCCGATCTGGTTTCCAAGTGGCTTGGTGAGTCTGAGAAGTTAGTGAAGAATCTCTTCGAGCTAGCTCGCCAACACAAACCTAGTATCATATTCATTGATGAAATAGATTCTCTATGCTCATCTCGATCCGACAACGAGTCTGAATCGGCTCGACGAATCAAAACCGAATTTCTTGTACAGATGCAAGGTGTAGGCAACGATATGGACGGTATTCTAGTTCTTGGAGCTACAAATATCCCGTGGGTACTTGACTCTGCTATCAGGAGACGTTTTGAGAAGCGTATTTACATCGCACTACCTGAAGAACATGCGCGTTTGGACATGTTCAAGTTGCATTTAGGAAACACAAGGCATCAACTCACAGAGCAGGATTTGAAAGTGTTAGCTACTAAAACTGAAGGATACTCTGGTGCTGACATCTGTATTGTAGTTCGAGATGCGTTGATGCAGCCGGTGCGTAAAGTGCAGTCTGCTACACATTTCAAGAAAGTCTCTGGCCCCAGCCCGTTAGACCCTAATGTTATCGCAAATGATCTTCTAACTCCTTGCTCTCCTGGCGACCCAGGCGCGATGGAAATGACTTGGATGGATGTACCTGGTGATAAATTGAATGAACCTCCAGTAACAATGTCGGACATGCTGCGCTCGCTAGCTATTTCGAAACCCACTGTAAATGACGAAGATATGGTCAGGCTTAGGAAGTTCATGGAAGATTTTGGCCAGGAAGGATAGATTTGATGCATTTTACTTATTTAAATATTATAAGATTTTATTAGCTGTATTTTACTGGAGTTTATTCACAGTGCCTAATATGTTGCAAATGTAGTCTTTTTATTTTTATAAATTTTTCAATCTAGGTTAGTCCACATAATTGTGTATAGTAGTCTCACAAATATTGTTCGTTGTTGATTGTCGTTATCACATTCACATGTCCAGCTTGTAATTTCATTTCACGATGATTGCAAAGCTCTGAAATGTGTGGTGTACAACTTTAAGAATTTATGCCTACAATAATTTTGATAGTGTTTAAAGTTTTAATAACAAGTATGCCTTTACTGTATTTCTCGCAATATACTAGTATAACATCTCGAAGTAATTTAAGTATTATGGTCCATGAATGTATAACATGCAAAGGCATTCTTAATTTTTTGTGATTTATTGGTCTTAGGATTTCATTTTGTTACAAAGCATTCAACTGCTTGCTAAGAGAATTGTTTGGTTTTAGGAAACTAATCCTGTATTTCATCACGCTTCTATTTAACCACATTTCAAATCTTGATGTCCATTTGTTGTTAACACCAATGACGTAAATTGCATGGTATGTTTAGCTAGATAAAATAATTGCTTATCTAGATTAATATTTACAAATTGTATTTTTACAACTTATCTATGAATTGTAATGTAATTCAATATGCTTAGTTTCCCCAATTTTGAACGGAATATTGTAATTGTTAAAATTATATAAGCTTCCTTTTACTAGTAACTGTTGTTCTATAAGTATTCTAGATTGTTACCTCGGATTATCTTTGCAATAATATTTTTTGTGGAATTAACGTCTTTTAATACAGACTAGTGAAATAAATTTTTAAATTCTGATTAAAAGTAATTCATATATTTATTTGTTGTGATATTGGCAAGCATTTTATTTTTATAACGTTTACCTTTTTGTATTCTGTACATAGAACATCTACACCTCGTATTTATACATTATTTTCATTTATGAAAACATACAAACACAAGAGATTGTGCACTTAATATGTAATTATTATAAAAGTTATTATTATTTCGCAAACTATCTTAAATTACTTTTAATTTTTGATCTTAATAAACGTTTAGTTCGTTCACTCTTTTGTATATTGTTAAAATAAGTGATATATTATAATGTTCTGAAATATTGTGTTTATTATTTCGATTCGACAGTTGAAAGTTGAATGTAATAAAACAGCGTATTACAAATGTATCTTTATTTACATTAACTATATTTAAATGCGGGAATATCACGATATCTTTACACAAACAATGTTCAATGTTATCATTATAAGTAAACTAAACGGTTTGTTCCAGCTTGATGAGTTTATTTCTGAAAGAAAAAGAATAAATATTGGTTTGTTATCGAGAAAGTTATGCATGAACAATTTAAAATGTAAATTGTTTTTATAAATGATCATCTAAACACTGGCTTAATTACTGAAACATTCCAATTAGACATTTGAATTGCTCATTTAATTTTCAATTTGGTTTTGAGTGGTCGCAAGTGTGACGTGTGACTTAAGTTCCAGCAGCTGTAGCCAAATGCCATTTAGCGCTTGTCTACTTGTAGAGTAGAAAAGCAAATTATATGGAATTGACGTAAATTTTGACACTTGTCAGTGTCATCCCCATACATTTTGATTTCTACTCTCACTGTAGACAAGCGCTAAAGTGGCGTTTGGCTAAAGGCACTGGTTCGATTCCTAGATCAAGTCAATTTAATTTTTTTTTGTTTTTTTTTAGTTTCGAAAATCTTATTACCGTCTGTTATAAAGGGAAAAGTGAGTAATGTCTTAAAATTACTAATGTACTAATTAATAGTGTTAGGTACCTATAATGACTGTCCGTTCTCGTCTATGTGTTCCTATAGTGGCTACACATTTGAGTTTCATACGAGGCTTGGTGGGCGCTCGAAGGCCGAGCGTAGAAATCAGCAACCCTTGTGGCGCCGGCTTCGCTCCAAACGCGATCAGCCATGATCTGTCTGTGATCTGGAAAGAGATGTAAATAGAAGTGTCTATGTAGAATGTAATTTCTTGTGTTATTAGTACGCTTGGCCACTAGTCAAGGCGAGGTAGTCCTCTCCAGGTGATAGCGCGACCAACGAACGAGCATGCCTGCCGTATTCACTCGGGACTTGAAGTCTTCAAAGCTGAAATCCTAACTGACGAAGTGGATTATGTATACAATAAAATACAAAATGAACACTAACAAAGTCCGTAATTGTGGGCGGTGTTCAGTAATCTCTATATATAAAAATGAAACTCGTTTCCCGTTGTCACGCCATAACTTGAGAACGGCTAGACCGATTTGGCTGATTTTTTTTGTTGTTTGTTATCGTCAGGAGAAGGTTTTTATGACAAAAAAGTCCTGACAGTTCTACGGGAACGGGAGAAACGGAATTGCGCGTACGAAGTCACGGGCAGAAGCTAGTATAATACCTTTAGATTCGGCCTTATTATAATTACCTTATTATATAAACATCTGGCAAAAGGTCAGTGTTGCTTATAATTGTCTCATCATATCTCTGTGTAACCCTTTGGGAAATAAAAGAAGTGATGTTATGATTAAGATTAAAAGTTGGTACCTACTACAAGAGTACAAATATACCTAACAATGATTATAGCATCAAAAAACTGCGAGTGCACTTGTTTTTGAAGGAGAAATAAACGAAATTAAGAGTTTCATAACGTTAATTAGGTTTTTATAATAACTATCGTGAGACATACTAAATTAACTAAAATCGCTAAAACTAAAAAGCTCTACTAGTTTCGAACCACAGAGGGGTTCTTCCTCATGAGCAGCGTGTGCGGTCGCGGCGACGCGACGTCGCGCAGCTCACTTGAGCTTTTCTCAGTATATTCACATGAGTAGGTAACCCGCGACTTTAGTTAATTAACTTGATTAGGTATTTGAAGTGTGATCTCAATAACCCCATTCTTTATGAAAGTAAAATTTACATTCACGTGATTTAGACATCGAATACTTATCAATAAATGGCATTTCATTTCTGTAGGTTGAACGTCCATCTTTCATACCTACTAAAGTGCCTAATATGTTACATATGGGACGAGGTGCTCCATCGTAGACCGCATCATCGCTTAGCACCTGGCGAGATAGTGGTCAAACGTCGGCGCATCAAAAAATGATCCTTTGTCATAGGGATGATTTTAAGATGAAGGTTCCTTACTTAGTTGGTAGGTACTATTATTTATTTATTGCTATTAAGTACTTACCTAAGTATAAATTCTAAGTAGTCAGCTGTAAAAAAACTTGAGATTTTATCACCACTAACCAACCTTTTGTCCATCTATAAGCCATTGTAGATCAGGAGCTGGAAACGATTTGGCAGATGAGCAGTTTACATCCAGAGGTTCTTTCAATTTATACGCCCGCTCGTGACCCGTGATGCGTGGAGTTTCGCGTGGGAAATCTGAAATAATGTTTTAAGAAAGTACATAGACCAGAATCGGTATCGGTATATGAAAATGAAGGGCTGTTCGTTAGTCTAAGTTTAAGTGTGGGAGTGCCATGCTTCGGCAGGAATGGGCCAGCTTTATCGGAGTGATACCACGGCCTCACAGAAAACTGACGTGAAGCAACGCTTGTGTTGTGTTTCGTCATGTGAGTGACGTTACCGGTGGCCCAATTACCCTCCCCCCATTCCCCAATCTCGCCAAACCCTGAATTTTCAACATTCCTCAAACTCCTAATGCCCAAAAGGTCGGTAGCGCACTTGTACGCCTTTGGTGTTCCAGATGTCCATGCTCGAGTTCGATTGCTTACCATCAGGTGATCCGTCTGCTCGTATACCGGTATATTTCATAAAAACAGTCTAGCTATAACTCGAAAATGGCTGAACCAATTTGGCTAATTTTGATCTTGATTTATTTGTGCACATCCTAGGAAGGTTTAAAAGGTGAGAAAAATAGCTAGTGTAGGTATAAAAAATACTAAGAATTTATCCACATTGGAAAATTGTAGGTAGGTACCTATAGTTGTAAACAATCCCACGATACAGGAGAAAATCTTAGTGTGAGGCAGCGTCTAAAAAAACTTCTAAGCGTTCAATTATTCTAACCCAATCTAGCTTTTAATTAAAGAGATCTAATGTTTAGTTGTTACTCATGTCATGTGCGTGCATCCTTAGTTTTACGTTAACGCAGAGCATGATGGAGACCTTAGATATACTAAAGATTTCTATGATGTAGTCAGTCTCTCTTGTATTGTTTCATAAAATCTAATTGAAATAACAAGTTCCATCACACAATACTTATTTAAAAATAATACAAACATTGTTAGACTAGTGATTTGTGTAGCAAAACGTCGTGCTTTTTAAACTTTGTTTTAGCTAACTTGAATAGCGACTGCGCCGTTGCAAGCGAGTCAACCGAGCTATGGACTTCAAGGTTCCCTTGGGGTCGATCGAAATATTATTAAGTTCTTCATCCTTCAAAGTCCACAGCAATAGCAAGGGGTCAAGAGTTATGCCTAGTTTTTATCAACTCTTTAACCTTTATCCTTTTATTTAGGTAGGTATACGAAAATAAATCCACGTACTCATTGAACCTTTCAATGACGTCACACGGCACGTAATACGAAACGGAACGTCATTATTGTTGTGTTTCAATTCTGTTACGAGAGGGTCGTTGTCTTTTAAAGAGCTCGTTTCAATGAAATGTGTTTAGGAGCTGTATTTTTACGATACCCTATTTGTTTTGACAGAGGTAAAACGTTCCTTCTTATTATTATTTGCTTCGTAGGTAAAGGTAATGGTTTATTTTTGTTTTCTGAATTTCGAGTTTTTTATCAACAGTTTTCTTAATTCCTATCATCCTATGAATCTATAAATAAGTAGGTATGTAGGTAGGTACTAATCTGTTAAATCTAAACAAATATTTTCTATCTATCTAGAATCTAGAAAATTATCATGTTCCGTCACTAGAAATAGGTACCTATATGCTTAAGTAGATATGTACTCGCTTAGTCAGATATCGTTTAAATTAACCCGTCGAGCGTCCGCGTTCCTTATGATCCAACGGGTGCACACGTGACATTTGGAGAAAGAAAGAAAGAAAATGCATTTATTTGGCCATTGGCACACGAAAACAAGGATCATTACAATAGAAATAAAAAATACAGTCAAAATAAAAACAAAACATTAATAATATGACTGCAAACATGACTGCACGGTTGGTGCGGTGGCTAGGCAACTGTCTGCCGTGCAACATGTCGCGGGTTCGATTCCTGCACGGAACAACACTTTGTGTGATCCACAAATTGTTGTTTCGGGTCTGGGTGTCAAGGTGTATGTGAACTTGTATGTTTGTAAACGCACCCACGACACAGGAGAAAATTCTAGTGTGGGGCAATGTTTAAAAAAAAAAGATTTTATAAAAGAGAAAGCAGCGTGAAGCATTTTTAAAAAGTTAAAGGTTACCAAAAAGTAGTCGGCCATACCTGGAAATTTGCTTTACACACAATGTGCACCTATGGGTCCCTTAAAGGTAGGTACAAGTTGGAAGCGTCATCAGGCAGCAGCAAACGACGGACGTGGTGTCGTCGCAGCGACAATTTATACTGGTTTCTATCCTTTTCTATCAAATTAACTCCTTAGCGACACAAAGCTGGAAACGCGTCGGTATCTAAGCAATCGGCGCCGCACATGGACACCCGAAACATGAAGGCGTACACAAGTGCGTTACCGGCCTTTTGAGGATTGTGGAAGATTCGAGGACTCGGGAGACTAGGGTAATTGGGCCTCCGGTAACCTCACTCACACGACGAAACACAACGCAAGCGTCGTTTCACGTCGGTTTTCTGTGAGGCCGTGGTTTCACTTCGGTCGAGCCGGCCCAATCGTGCCGAAGCATGGCTTTCCCACACTTGTTGCAGTTATAGTTCGAAACCATAATTGCAGGGACAAGTCATAACGTCGTGTCGTGGCGACATGAAACGACAACACGTCTCGGCTACTTCCAATTTGTATCTAAATTCTCATTGTCATCTCTTAACTTTTCTATAGAGGTATTTTACCTGTATTCTCGTCTAGACAACAAATCCCTCACGCTACTGCATAGATCAAAAGTTTTTGAAGCACGCTTTTGCGAACGTGACCTTAGTTACGCGGGATGATTATCTAAGTATTACTTACTATACGAAGATTTATAGTACCTAACTAACAACTAGTATAAGTTGAAGTCGTGAACATTTGTGCAACAAATGTCGCTATTATCTTAACATGGCTACAGGTTATAGGATGGTTTTTCTTAAAAACTTTTCATAACTACATACCGTATACACAAAGTGTTGCAATATCAGTGGCGTAATGCGGTGAGGTGCCTTGGTGGGGCCCCGTATAAAAATGTTTGGGGTGCCCCAAACATGTTTTTTTGGTTTGGGGGCCCGCACAATTGTTTAATGTATAGTGAATGTTCTTTCTTCTCAAGAAAAAAAATGGAATTTGTAAAATCTGTTATTGGCTGCCATTTCTTGAAGATGAATTTTGGAAGAGTACATCAAAATCTACAAAATCCATCTTTCAACACTCACGGAAATCTTTCCAGGCAACCCATATAATATCAGACTATGATGAAGTCATCATACTAAATATAATAAATAGCTGAAGATAAGAGTCTTTAGGTTTTTTACCTAAACATGAGAGTCTTTAGGCGCCCTACACTGCGTTTGTCTAGACGCGGTCTCCACTCTAGAACACGTTTACCCCAACGGTTATCGGTTCTTCGATAACTGTGACCGATAAATGTGCTTACTGATATTTTGGGCTATGTCGATAACTTTGGTTCTCTGTCGGATCACTTCGTTTTGGATTCGATCCTTCAAAGAGACTCCGAGCATAGCCCTCTCCATAGCTCGAATGCGCTGCCGAAACTATTAGCGATAGAACAAAATAATGTACAACAATATTGAAGACCATCATAATGTCTACAAAAAACTCCGCGGTATATATGTCCAACTGTTGTAGTTATGTCACTACCACAATCCAAATTTCCAAAAATAAATAACTGTCTACCCCGTGCGAAGCCGGGACGGGCTGCTAGTAAGTAATAAACTTGGGAAGGTTTTATTAATTTTTGCTTACGCATGTTGAGACCCATGACCTGGGGGCGGGGCCCCGTACAACTGATACGGCAGATACGGCGCTAGCTACGCCCCTGTACAAAATAGAAGTAGAGATAGTATTTTTGAAACCGGATACACGTGACTCAACGAATAGATTGCGAATATGATTATTTTATTGAATCAAGTTATCATAATAAGTCTTTTCGTATAGATTAGGGATGGTGTCTAACTTTAATAATAAATTTATTGAACATATTGCAGTTGAAGTTATTATACTTACAATAGACTTCCATGAATGCTTCTGCTTGCGCAGAGTGGAACGAGGGAGCTTCCTCAGAAACTTCACATCGATATAATCCTCGAGATTTGAGGATCAGCTCTCGAAGATGGACGCGGCGAGCCGTCGACTTCTCTAACTAAAAAAAACAAGGCAATAGTTTATTAAAAACAAGCGTGTTGCTCAAGCTTCGTATCGGTAAGTAAGTAGGTACTTATTCCCTATTCTTATTGTTATTAGAAAGAAATAAGAATAAGGCTATACGAAATGGCTCTGTATTTTTAACGGTTACCCGAAGTGCAATACGGTTAATTTAAATATATGTACAAATATTTATATTAATCAATTACCTCAATACGTAAATTTAGGCAATGACTAATCTGATAAGAAGTTATCTTTCGTTTCTGTTTATAAAATCGCAGGATTTTGATGATTATATTAACTATCATCAAAAAACATCAGATTTTTTTTCCTTATCTTTTTTATATAAGTCGGAACTGAATTAAGTATGAATTATTGACACGACTTGAGCGGCAGTGAACTGCGACTTCCAGAAGAAACAAGATTTTTCAAAGAGTAAGTAAACATTCAAGTAATTATGTTGATTCTTTCCATATACTTATTTAAAATCCTCCAAAATTACATTTTTAAATATTACAAAAAATATATTTAAATATATAAAAATAGTTGCCGACCAGTAGCGGGAGCATGGTTCAAAACTATTATTGAAACTTTATTATTATAATTTTAAAAGGTGAACGAAGGATAATATGATATTCTCTGGCGTTAAACATTAGGACGGAATTCCGGCGTTTTTGAGCAATCGCTGAATATAACAATTTATTATGTTGTTGCAGATGAGGAGCTTCATCATAATTTTGGTGCTGTCAGCACTCGCAGCCTGCCATGGCGCTGCTGTTCTTCCGGATGAGGCGAACATGTTCTCGTCTTTCATTCGAGAGCAGATGTTAGATGGTTGGACCTTAGAGCACAATGAAGAAGATGCGGCCCAGAACAGAGTCACAATGAACAAAGGAGAAGCCAGAGACGACTTCATAGTTTTATATGAGTGAGTATCTACTAAGTTTATGACCGATTCTTATATTTTCAATTGTTGCAAACAAATTACAATGCTCAATAATAGTGAGAACACCTTAAGGATTTAAATAAGATCTTATAAAATATTTTGAAGCAACATTTCAAGATAATCTAACATTATCTTGAAATGTTGCTTCAAAATATTTCAAGACTAATCTTGTAAAAGTCATTGGGGGAGGTTTTTGTTTAGCACAGCAGCGTTTTAAAGTTTTTGAAACGTGACGTCACGAAGTTTCAGACCCCTCCCACCCCCTTGTTACACAACCGGGGTCCACAAAGTGTGACTAGGCACACAATGTCACACTTTGTGGACCCCTTTCTCCCCCTTAACATCTGACGTAATGGATGGCTCCGTAGAATGGACACACTATCTGACATGTGGCAGACATGACAATTGCCGAGTTAGGAATTAATATTGTGAATATATTTTCAGGCGTCCATGCATCGTGCCAGCTATACCGAACGACATTGTGAGCTGCGAAGTGGTGTATCATGGTGAACCCAATGTCAGAATTATGCGTTTATCGGTTTCCTATTTCTGGCCACCACCTGCACATATCGATGCTAGTGGACTATTGACTAATGTTGGTCGTGTCAAACTAACTTCACATATAGGTGAAAGACTTCAGGCAGTTGTCAGAATGTATGGTGTAATAATTGAGGATAACAATTAATCATAAGTTTTGAGATCATTATTTGTTATGACGACTTTAATTCTATGTTGCCTGCATTCCACTTTGGATTAATACTGGTCTCCGAAAAATATATATTTTTGTCTTAAAACTGTTTTTTTGTTTGTTTGCTTTTTACCAGCGGCTTCGCCCGCGTTCCCAGAGTTAAAAAGTAGGTAGCCTATGTCTATCTATGCCTCCAGTCCATAATCTACCTGTTCCAAATTTCAACCGGATCCCTTCAAGTGTTTTGTTATGACTGAGTAATAAAAGTACACACACAGACGCAAGCTCACAGACACACAAACTCACAAATTTTCGCATATTTATAATAGCAGTTCGAGATAATTTGGAGCATCGGCTCTACAGTTACAAACTTATATTTGCGTTTGGTACAGTCAACTATGTCTAGGGATCGAGCCGCACAGGTAATTAAGCTTGGGTTTTAGTGTATATACTTTGTTGGGACAAAAAAGTACTCAGTGTGATGCCCAGGATATTAAAGTACTAGCTTTTCCCGCGGCTTTGCTCGCGTGCTTTGCACTACACACAGGATAAAAAGTAGTCTATGTGACTATCCATCCCTTCAACTATCTACAGTTAAAAAATCATGTAAATTAGTACCTCCGTTTTGCCGTTTAAGACAGGCAAACAAACAAATAGCTATCCGCTCGCGTGGAATTATACCACGTTTTTAGATTTTTCCGTGGAAATGAGAAGTTTTGACGCGGTAAACCCTTACTTTTCCAGGACTCAAACTACCTTCATACCAAATTGCTTCAAAATCCGTTCAGCCGTTTAGGCGTGAAAGAACAACAGACAGAAGGAGTTATTTTCGCATTACCACAAATACTATCCTCCCATTTCAATTTAAAATACTTCACTTGGAACAAAGCACTTAACTAATCTAACCTAACTAATATACAGCAACTGTTTTAATTAACCTAAACAATGAACAAAGCGACTCAAAACGACGAAAAACAATAACTATTTTAGATAATAATATCTACTTAGGAAAAAAAACACTTGACTAATCAAACCTATCATTGATTGAGCGAGCGAAAAAATCAATCTCAGTGCTAGATATTTACACGAAAATATAATTGTTACGGAAGCTCGGAACCTATACTTTTGCCGGTAACGAAACCATAGCACCATCTAACTGGATTCTAACGCCATATATCGAGTGTTGAAACAACAGCGTACAATTTATTTGCTAATTGTTGAGTATTGTTGACGCTATGATTTCGTGTACTCGGGGATATCAAATTTTTCGGGATAAAAAGCCTATTATTTAATCCGGACTTCTAACTTTACGTCTGTAAAATTTCAAAGAAATCGGTTTAGTAGTTGCGGCATGAAAGCAGAACAAACAAACAAATAAACAAACCAACTCATTTTCCGATTTATAATATTAGTAAGGATAACCTTACCAAGTTTCATCTTAATCGGATCGTTAGTTTTTCTGTGATGCGTGAAAACACAATCACATTTTTGGGTCTATCTGGTAACACCTCTACTATTTATTTTTTTAATATTTTTTATGTACAGAATTAACATTTCTGTACTAGTTAACACATAGATATATATATATATAATAATTATGACTTTTCACAATAACTGTAAATTAGGGCAGAATGTTCTTATCTTTAAAGTTTTGCATACTATATCAAATCAAACTAACGAAACAATCGGGCATATTTTTTTTGTATATTTGCCTTTACCTCTTAAAAAGGGGTTGAAATTTTATACGACACTATTCGCAGTTTCCAAGGTAGAAAACTAGTCGCGGAGAACCTAACGGGTAACCGGGGCTCCGGTTCGACGTGCAGGAGAAGGAACGGGGTGGTTTTTAGTCAGTAAGAGTCTGACACTCCCTTCCGCCTCACCCAGGCGGGAGCAGTCATTCGATGATTTAAAAAAAGGTAGAAAACTAAAAATAGGTAGGTATATAGATTTTTGTTGACTTTGTTATCAACGGAAAATATGTGAGAGTTGGAAATTGTGTGAGACTCTTCGCAAAATCAGTTTGTACATACATAGAAGTATGATACAAAATTATCTACACTATTATTCTAAAGAGAAGATTCTGATAACATTTGTTACATCTGTAGAATAAAACATATCTTGGAAAAGACTAATTAAATAACCCTAATTCTGCCAGAAGTCATTATTCTACACGGACGAAGTCGCGTTAATAGCAATAACAACTTACATCAACTTTAACTCCGTCCAACTTATGTGCGTGTTGAGGAGGTCTCAACCGGGGCATGTATCGGTAGAACTCTTCATTGTCTCTGTACCACTTCACAGAGTACAGCTTACCCCCTTCCAGGTCGTAGTCACATGTTAATGTGGACGACTCCCCACGTTGCTTCAGTGCTGGTACCGATATACCCACTATGCGGAGACATATGCATACTGTTGATGAAAAAAAAATATAATTATTGTCATACGATTTTAGTTGTTACTTCTGTTTGCACCTACCCCTTCGGGGATAAAAGGCGTGATATTATGTTATGTTACGATTTTAGTAAAAAAATGTAGATCTGCCTGCGTTCCATGTATCGCTTATCACCAGGCTAGAGGTTGGCTACATGTCGAACCATAATCAATACAAAACAAAAGTAAAAAAAAAAATAAGTGCTAAATATAGTGAAAAATTTTAGTCACTAAAAATAATAAATAAAAATTTTCGTGGAATTATAAATAATTTAAAAAACTTATTAATTTTAGCCACTAAAAGAAATATCCTGTATGAAATTAAACCGGAACTAAAAAAATATATTTATCGTGATTTATTTTAGTAGTTATTGAAGAATACTTAATTATATGACAATAGGCTCACCCCCTATTACATAGGACTCCTATCATGAACCCTGTATCAAAAAAATATCAAGAAATGAAAAAGAAATAACGCTCGTGACTTAAAGAAAGAAAGAAAGAAAATAATGAAAGAAAGAAACACTTTATTTCACACACGTACAGATTTTACACATAAGTTTATATATATCTACTAATGTCCCAAGTCTGCGGTGAAATGGGACCAGTTCAGCAGTTCACTTCGTTGCTTGGCTCCTATTTTAGACTAACGATTTATTTCTTTAACTGGCGTATAGACGCACTCGACTTTATTCAAGTGCGATATGAATATAATGTTTGTTACTGATAGACCGAACGTCTAAATGAATGGTAGGTATTGAATGAAATGTTCAATTCTTCAATTGTTTGGGAACGAGTGAATGAACGATTTGATTATAACCTACAGCAGTTGATAGGTGGTCATATTAATTTGAATTTATAAATTAATTGTTGTGTGTTATTATTATTTCTGTTGTTTTCTTTTTTTTTTGTTTTTACTTTCTTTTTATTTAATAGTTTAGTTGTAATTAATTTTAAGTTGTAAATATTTATGTAGTTATATAAATTATGTTATTTACTTAGTGATGATAATGAATATATTAGATGACTAGTAAAATAAAAAAAAGTTATTAAAATAATTTACGTACTTAATTTATTTTTGGTCATACGTTAACTGTCTAAACGTAATGTATTTATGTTAACGAGGAGAGCACGAGTGTGCGTACTATGGAGATTTTATATCGTATAATTAATTCGTATTGTAAAGGAATACAATATTCATAATAATATGTTCATGATCACTGTCTAACATTATTTGAAAGTTAATACACAATCATAATTTTGTGTACAATTACTGTCAGATTCGCTAATTCATGTGTTTTCAAAAGTTGTACTATTATTTTATATGTCCTGCAATTAGCATATTATTTACAAAACTTCAGGCAAAAAATATTTCACTTACCTTTTACATAATAAAATATTAAATAACAGAACACAGTAAAAGTTCCCATTTTCACTTAAATATCACAATTAACACTGTATTTCTTCATTACTAAAACTTTAGTCAGATATCAAAAGCTTTCTCATATCTCATATGAAGTAATTTTAACTGGAATCGAAACTAGGTCACATTGTTATTCCCAACTTTCGACGCTACGTAAAATTTGATATTCCGTCGAGTGCGCCCGTTTCGTAGCTCGTAGCGAATGCAACTGTTGCTACGCCGCGTAGATCGCTGCGAGACGGCTCGTAGCGCTACGGTCGTAGCACACGCGAAATTATTTAAGCCGGGTATTTTCTGCAAAACAATTTAGGTGCGCTAAAAGGAGAATGTTCACGTAACTATGGAATTTCGTCTTACGTTGTTGCACAATAAATCTTTATTTATTATAGACCATGCTTATTATATTATCGAATAAAAGCGTTCATTTTCCCATAAATATCCGGGTTTTTAAGTAATTAGACAAAAACGAAAATAACCTAAAATTATGTTTAAACTGTCAAACACCGTGCGGTCACCCTCACCGGTGACCGCAACCTATTGTTCTTTAATTGTGTCTATAGATAACTAAACATAAAAACGTCTTGTCGTATGCTACATGGAACTCACGCTTATTTATTCAAAAGTTCAAAACAAACACTCAAACAGTGAAACAGAAACAGTTTTCCTTACAATCCAAATGCCGCCACTCTGTCTGTCACATGTTATGACAGTTTCTTCTGCGTGAGACGGAACACAAAAATAATTATAATTGTAACAATACTACAAAATACTAAATAAATACATTGTAAAATGTATTTATTTTACAAATTATTTAGCTATTTATTGAAGTTGATATAATTTTTGTGATGATTTTGCCGAAAGGTTCTACTTACGTGATTCGTAAACACGAAGCTTTATTCGTAAGTTAGCACGGAACGTCAATGTCCTTGAAACGGAAATTCCATAGCAATTTTTATGTTACTATTAATCTTATCATCATAATTCCGGATACGAATATACAATTCCTGAAGTGAAAAGGTTGTAAAAAATAAGAAAATTATTTCTATATTATTTTGATTTTTCAACTTGAAACTTTGCTAGACTGCTTTTGGTCAATCTCCTTTAGTGTCATAATGAAGCTGTATAGAAGAAGATATATTTAAATTCGATATTTTTGCTTGGAAATCACATTTGTTTTGCTTTTTAAGTACGTTTTTAGAATATTTCTTGCACGCTTCTTGTGTTGTTGAAAATTTTAACTCATCTAGTTTTAAGGTATAAATGATAGGTCAGTACTTAAATCAGCATAAATGTATTATTCTACGAGTAGAGATTTTGCAGAGAGAGATTGTGTAAAGATATTTTCCAGAGTTTTGCATGGCAGAGCTACTCAAAAAACCCCAAGAATGTAATAATAGTTCTCAAAAAACTGCACACCTACGGTTTTCTATTTTATTACTAAGTCATATTATTCTCCACAAGATCTTGTTAGTGCACTGCCTTTGTTTATGAGGTACTTAGAGTCAGATAGTGTTTATTACAGTATGAACTCAAGCCCAAGCGTACCACTAGAAATAATGGTATTTTCATATTTAATGCTAGAAATAAAATTGTTCCAAGGATTTTTATTGAATAGTCGATGAACGATCCGTATTTTGTGAATAGATTTGGTATAGTAGTTGTTCTATGAAGTGTAGATTAAGTGTCATACGACCGAATACTGAATGGCTACTTTTTAGGTTGTACTCAAATACCGTACTATCTCGGTCATATTAGAAAGAATTTGTAGTATAGAACATGTGTTCTTAAGTATAGTTCTGTATACCTAAGAAATATATACTGTATATATCTTAAGTATAAGACTTAAAATTGAGTAGCCTTTTGGTTTCGGGCCATAGGGACATTATGGCTTCTAATTAGATTAATTAAGAGGAGTATGAGGAGTATGACCATAAGTATATTTCTTTATGCATTCCACGGTTCAAAATTAAAACCTTATGCTTGTTGCTTACCTATAACTAATAAACCAATGAATCACTAGAGTAATACCGAGTGAATAGGTTGCTTATAGGATGATTTGCTCTATAGTAGACCGCATCATCGCTTACCACCAAGCGAGATATCGGCCAATCGTCGGCCCATCAAATATATAGGCCTTGTTGCACCGTGCCCAATTTTACCATTTCTATTATATTACTGTTCTTCTTGTTTTTAATTTGTTGCGGTACGAATAAACATTTTTTCTTTCTTTCTACAGAAAAAGAACCAAGTAAAATTTATTAAATATACAACTATCGTCTTACAAAACCCTAAGAATAGAATAGAAAGTTGTTCATTTCGCTAGTTCATATGTTACAATAATGTCCACAGGTTGATTGTGTGTTCGACCTGTGGTTGTGTCAGCTACTTACTAACAGTCTACCTATGATTGTCTGAGAGAGATCTATATAAGCGTCGACAAAAAATCTAAGTTCCTTTAAGAAAACCCAAATATGTATGAACTAGACTAGAAATACTAATAACAAACCTTCGTAATTTAATAAATTAATAAACAATTTGATTCATATTGAAGTATTAAGCCGTAGTATAAACATAATTAAAAATGCTTCTGGGGGCCAATTCTCGGCTTTAGAGATGATGTCGAACTCGACAAAAATGTCTAATGACGTCATTTTTTCGTCAAATTTTAAAAGTTGCTATTCTGGAGATGTCGAATGCGACATTTGTCGAAGGCTAACGTTAGAGTTCATGTCGAGTGCTTCTGAGCAGTAGAGATGGCATGTCGATTGTAGAGATACTGAGATACGCCATTTCTGTGAATTCGTTGAGTTTCGAATAGTACAGTGTTTTCTTTTCTTTCGTTTTAAAGTAAAATACGGCTTGGCATCTTATAAGTATGAACATTGGAAATTCAGTATAGACTCTTCAATTTGTGTATTGTGTTTTCTTGAAACGACGACCTTCGCGTAAATAACAGTCTTTAATTTGTGTACCCACGATTGGACTTGAAACATGGACGAGTTTATTAATATTTTTATCTTGGAGATGTTGGAAAGTGGCGAGCGACTGGCCAATACACGGCGGCAACAGCGCACTTATCCCGTCGTCGGGATAAGTTGGGCACTAGGGTATTTTTTCTCTCCCTGCATATTAAAACGAAAATTATAAAAATGTCCAACAGAATAGCCCACTAGTGAGTGATGATGAACTTATAAAAGTTTTGAAACAACCGCTTACAGATCCAAATTGTGACACTGACAGACAGTCAACTGGAACTGTCCTGTCAAACTAAATATTTTTGCACTAAACGTTCCGTTTTAACTTAAATAATTAGGTTTAGTGAACGTTTTATGACAAAATCATTCATTCACTCATTCGATTCTGCATAATGGTAACATTATCTTCACTCGACTCGACATTTTCGTGACATTTGTTTCTATTTTGACTGAGAATACGAATTTCTGTGCAATTCGACATTTTTTGATAGAGATAGAGATATTTTTGATAGACATAGAGATAGACTTACAATGTCGAACTCGAGATAAATGGCGAAAATCGAGAATTGGCCCCCTGGCAGGTAATGGCGTTCGCGAAATTACCATTGTAATGCGTATAATTAAAATTAATCGGCAATTAATGTGGTGTAATCTATTATTTTAATGGCAGTAGAATGGATGCGGTTTCCCCGTACTTTATGTTCAAGGTTCATGTCAGATATGTACTGCGAAGTCAATGTAAATTAGGTAGATGACAAAAAACGATTGCTTAAATCAATAAATTACATCGTAATCTATATAAATAAAAAAGAATTTCTGTTCGTTAGTCTCGCTAAAACTCGAAAACGGCTGAAACGAGTTGGCTAATTTTGATCTTGAAATGTCTGTAGAGGTTCAGGGAAGGTGAGAAAAACCTTTAAGGCGTTACCAAGTTTGCCAGGTCAGGTAGTATGAAGTATAAAAAATTACTAAAAATGTTTATTACACCAACGCTTCTTAAATATTACGCTCACGAAATGCTGACAAAAAGAAATTGTTTTTACAATTTGAATCGGTTTTTTTTCCATGTTATTCATGCAACATCGGCCTTAAGCAGTTGATTACAACTATTATTACATAAAAGAAACATTTAATTCTTTACTTTTATGAAAATTATTTAAGTGTGGGAGAGCCATGCTTCGGCACGAATGGGCCGGCTCGACCGGAGTGATACCACGGCCTCAGAAAAAACCGACGTAAAGCAACACTTGTTTTGTGTTTCGTCATATCAGAGAGGTTACCGGAGGCCCAATTACCCTGCCCCTCCCCAATCTCCCCAATTTCTGAATCCCCAAAGATCCTCAAACTCCTAATCCCCAAAAGGCCGGTAACGCACTTGTAACGCCTCTGGTGTTCCAGGTGTCCATGGTGCATCATCATGGTGATCCGTTTGTTTGTTTACCGGCTTATGCCATAAATTTTTTTTTTACCATCACCTGTCGGCATTTCGGGAGCGTTCCGTTTACACTCAGTATATCAATTTTATTTAATGTAGACTGTCATATCTACACTTCTTATATGTCTAGGTATACATACTTACTTCTACACAATATATATTTTGACTGCACGGTTGGTTGCGGTGGCTGGGCAACCGACTGCTGTGCAACGTGTCGTGGGTTCGATTCCCGCACGGAACAACACTTTATGTGATCCACAAATTGTTGTTTCTGGTCTGGGTGTCATGTGTATGTGAACTTGTATGTTTGTAAACGCACCCACGACACAGAAGATAATACTGGTGTGGGGCAACGTTTAAAAATATATATATCTATAACACATAATGTAAGTAGTACGTGTATACTTTTATCCATTATGTCATCTGCCACACAATCCATCTTCAAAGTTTATTCGAGATGACATTTCTCATATTTTCGGATACTTTTTCCAACAATAAAGAAAAAGTTTTTAAGTATATGCACAGTTAATATAAACAGCAGAACAATAAGTTTAAAAATAAAAAAAATATATATATTTGTTCATTTGGATGTTACGG